GCGGACGAAGGTGCAAACAATTAATACAAAAAACCCTAGTCCCTGCAGGCAAAATATTGTTTGCGGGAAAGGGTACGAGTTTACAGCCGGTCACTTAACTCGCACACCACCGAATACATTGATATGACGACCTTTTACAGTGTCGTCATAATGGATGATTTTGAAGGGAAGGGAATTTCTGTTAGTGTTCGTGTTACGCTCCAACCATGGCAAGTGGTCCCAACTATTCATGAGTCGGCCATATTACATTGAAAGCGAGGTAAACTCTTCATTTTTGAGTAGAAATGAAAGCAATGAAATAAAAGTTCATTACCAATTAATACCAGTCTGCTCCGATGAATCATTTACATTTTGTGATTAAACATCCTAAATAAAAACATCATCGTGTAGTTGATGTTTTATTTCTAACGTGTAGTTGATTTTTATTTAGGACAGTCTTCAGGATGCACGCCTGTAAGTAGGCCAAAATTCCGTCTGCCGAGCACATGAATAAAAGTTATACCCTCAAAATATTCTATAGGGCCTATTAGAGAGTTTTGAGAGCCATAAAATTGGGAATTGAAGAGATATGGTAATGAACCTCTGGCCCGGACTTGGGGCTTCCAATTCTGGGCATTTTTGGATGCTATTGGGCTCGAAAGTGGCGCTATTTTGCCATGTTGTGGAGGGATCATTTTTCAAGATGGCTACTTTTCCGCTTTGGGGAAAATAGGGATCGTGTTACCGCAAACCGAAACGATACCGATACCCCACCATGCAAAGCCTCAAATCTTATATTAGGGATCGTCTTCTTTGGGTAAGAATATCTCGAAAAGTCAATGGTCAACCAACCAAAAAATTAAAAGAAAATGAAAGATGACACATTGATCATCATTTTTCTGTGCAGCTTGAATACCTGTGAGAGTTCCGAGTATCTTCAACAGAATTTTGAAGTATGCGCATTTAGCACTAGTGTCTATGGGATTTTTTTGCAGGGTTGCACCCTTCAGGATTCACTGCTAGCTACCTGTCCCCATAATGAAGTCCGAAGGACAATGCGGACAGGGAACCAGACTACCAAAACTAGTCTTAAACTATGGCATTCTTGAGGAGGGTGCCAAGTTAGTCTTGGTCCAGGTTTGGATTTGGAACAGTGGATCCGGCTGGACAAGTGCAGTCAAGCCTACGCAGCGGTAGAGGGCGCTATCAACAAGATGAGTCAAATCAAGTCCTGGGAATGTTGGCAAGTGGACCAGAGAAGTTTGAAATTTAACCACAAGATTTATCAGTTTACCAAAACAGTCTGGAGCTAACCATGCGTCCAGTCATATTTGTTTTGGTTTCTGGGTACCAGACAAGAGATGTAGTACTTCATGCATGAAGTATGTCACAACAAAATGGATTCATGATTCATATGGAAAAAAATGTTCATTAAGGAGCTGGTGAAAGAAATAATAGCTACCGTGTGCTGTTTTAAAATACCAGCATTTATTTCAACTTTTAGAGTGAGTTACGATGACACTTGTAGTTATCTGTTGCAGATAAACTATATTATAAGCCATAAGTCCAAATCTAACGTGGATTAACTACAGTTAAAGTAGTGCACATCGTAATTGAAATGTAATATTGGAAATTTAACTTTACTTTTTTTGTAATGTGGTGTTTATAATTTTAAACAAGAAATACAAATCTCTCACACTGAAAAAAAGTCTGATTTGAGACCAAACGAATGTCGGTCTCAAAGATAATGCACAAGTTTCAATGGATACTGCATTGATGACAGTCTTGACATGCCATCAAGTGATGCAAGAATAACAATGGCAGTGGCTGCATCCATTTCCCATAGACGTGTGTTACCATCAGCCTTAACCAGATAATTCGGACACAGGCTGGAGCATGTTCAAGGGCAACCTCGTCCCCAGGGTGTCGAGCAGTACGCGCCCACCACTACCTGCTCTCTCACCCTGGTATTGGACATTTGCATGTGCAAGATTTTTGAACACGTATGGAAATGAGGAGTTGTCTGGCGCCTGCCTGTGCGCTACATTTGCGTTTGTGTTTGTATGCGGTGTCTGGGGTAAAAACAGAATCAATTCGTCGCAGCGCGAGCATGGCGTGAGTTACGAAAACATGATTTCATTTTAATTAAATTGTTACGATCTTAACGACACAACATGCAGTATGACATTTCATATTAATATTAACAAATTGGAAAGGAAATGAATATTTTCGAGAAGGCGAGGACGAATGATCGCGAAAACACGTACTGCACGTTGTGAGTAACAACACCAAATACACGAAATAAATCCATTTCTAGCCAATTGCGGTATCGAATCAGGATGCAGGAAGGAAGTTTCCTATCCAGGGTTTACTATTGGAAACAAGGTTGGAAATAAAGTAAGCACTGGGGACGAGGTTGGTTCAAGGGAGAACTGTAGGCCAATCCGAGTTGCCCACTTTTTGTAATTACTGGGCTGGCTTTTCAATACTGGGACAGCACCAAATCTCGCTTTCTTATTTCACACAGTGCATTACCCTTCAGTGCATGTGCAGAGCTATATCCAATGCATGTGTGATGGGTGTTCAGGCACGGAAGTGTCCCAGCAATGGTTACTAGAACAGTCACCGCAATTTCAAAATCGGATTGGTGTATACTTAACTATAGACAAGGGCGGATCCAGGTGGGGGCCAAAGGGGGCCATGCCCCCCCCCCCCCCCCCAAAAAAAAACGAAACCAATTTTTTTTTTTGATGTGACATCGCAATAAAGGCAGGCAATGAGTACACCACCATCTTTTCCTCAAAAAAACATTGGTTAAAGTGGGCAGAAATTGCCTCAGATCGCACCACAGAGCATCTAGAATCAAAAAATTTGGGGGGGCCCTTAAGCGGGCCCCGAACCCCACGCCGTAATTTTTTTGACCCACTTTTTTGGGGGACCAAAATTTTTTTTGGCCCCCCAAAAAATTGTGTTCTGGATCCACCCTTGACTATAGATGGACTAACTTTGCTCAAACCCTCACTCGTCAACCACAGCCCAGCCTACCTACTGTACTTCATAATGCACAGCAGGGAGTCAGGACCCAGACGTTTTGTGTTGACTGGCATTTGACAGGAAACTTTCACACACTGCCGTCAGTCTTACAGCAAAAGTTACGTCACAAATTCACCCCTAGTCACTCAATCAATGATGTCCGACTGAAATTACTCCTGTTTGTGTGCATTTAAGGATTTGCTGGATTTCAGTGTACTAATTAAGCAGTGTTGCCTTTAAATATTCACCACTACACAGATATATTAAGATCTTATTTATAATACAATTAATTCTTAGAGTATCAGGTAAGCACAATTGTCATAAAAATATCTGCCACAAAAAAATGCCCTTTTTCAGTATATTCTATTCATATTAAAGTTGTTGGACATTTTATAGAAAAGGCCTACACGGGTATAACAAACTGTAGTGAAACACTGCAGATAACAATCAATTGTAAAATTTCAAATGTAACCTCAAATTTTGAAATAATTTACTCCAAACGTTAACCTGATTGAATTCCCCCCATCTTCCCAAGCAATACAGTATTAATCTTGGGCGAGTTGTTTCAAAAATGAAAAAAACTTTCAGGGGGAAAAGCATAGACGAGTGTCCTTTATCCACTGTTAACGTAGGTAAAACCACACTACAACATCCGCATAATGTCAAACTCTATTCCAGATATACAACGCGCCTAATTAAAAAAATCCTTGTACCCAACATCCTATAAATCCAATGGTGCCAGTTACCGCTAATCCCTTTCCACGATTTTGAAAGACACTTCGCAAAGACTTTGCAAAGCACCAGAAGGGGGGGGGGGGGGGCGCCAGAGGGGGCACCTTTCCCCCCTCCCTCCTGGCGGATTTTTTGACAAATTTTTTTCTTCAGCAATTATTTCAATAAATGGTTAGGGAGTTCTGATATCAATCCCACAAATAAACCCGCTCAAAATCCATTATAATGCGCCATGCAAATGCAATATAATCTGCAGTATGCATAATAATAGTCAGTTTTGAAGAGCGCCCCCATTTGCAAGATGGGTACCAACCCCATTTTTTTATGGACCCCATAGTGTTCGCTATAACGGCATTCTACTGTATAGTTACCTCTTTTTTGGATATGACAAAATATTACAAGTCTGGACTATATGAAATAAAGAAACTCCTTACAAGCATGCGTAGTTCTCCACTAATTCGAACAGAGATACATACATGTTGTGTACACATATAAGTATGTACTCACCCCCCCCCCCCCAAAAAAATCCTTCCTCGTTTTGATACAGTTACCAGAAACACAATTTTTTTTGGGGGGGGGGGGCCCCCCTAAAATCATCAATGCATGTACATTCAGTGTGCACACATGATCCTCAGTCACTGGAATCTTTCTGACAAGAGGCTAAACAAATTACGTCAACTTTGGCCATCACAAGTAAATCACAAGTCCAGTCACAAGTAACAGGGGATGAGCAGTAACAAAGGAAACCCTTTGACGGAATTTGTTTCCATAGCTAGTGACTTGAGATTGAAGAGGCTTGCGATGGAACTCAACTACAACACTGGCAACATCAGTGGATATTAAAGATGATTGGAACAATCCAGTCCATCACAAGTCCAGTCACAAGTAACAGTGAATGTACGTAACAAAATGAATGAATAATAAAGGAATGATATTGTCACCTATTTTTACCCTAACTGCCCTGAATCCTTCAAAATCCTCTTTGCCAAAGTGGAGGAATTTGAAGGATTGAGGTTATATGGCAAAAATGCGTTACTGATTTCGTAGGATGCACTTTGTCAAGGTCTTGGGCTGGACCTTGTGTTGTTTTTTGCTCAGCCATGCATAAATATAGGCCTGGATTATGCTTGAAATCCTCGGTACTGCTCAAAGATGTCACTGGCCAAGCCTCAAAATATTGACAGTCACTGCCGCAGGATTCAGGCAGTGGTCACCCCTCCATAGACCATATTTAAGAAATAATGGAGAAATTTGCAGGATTGAGGTTATATGCTATTTTTCCATGAGGCCAATTGGAAGATTTTGCAGGATTGAGGCTACATCCTAGCAAAAAGGCCCAGGGAGTTAGAGTTAATAGATAGGTTGTGTGACTTGGCTTGCGACTGGAAAACTTACGATGACTAGTCTCAACATTTCAGGACTAGTGTCAGTCTCCACTGCAACACTGACAAGGCCACTGAAATACGCCATTGGATATATAAGGTGAAGGGAACAAGCGAATGAAAGATTTTATGGCCGAAAGTGAAGAGCGCCCTCATAGTGTGACAAGATTCCTCTGTTTGGATTGGCGCTCGGTGCTGAAATCGTAGCTGTACCTGAGAAGCACATCTTCGTCTGTCGGGAGCTGTAACGTTGGAAAATCCTTTTGAAAGAAAGAAAAATGTAACACGTATTCATTGTCTGCTTTTATATATGCGATTTCCTAAAACCACTAGTGACAAAGTGCATTGGAGATCTTATAATTATAATAGCCCCATAATGAAAACTGTTCATCATTTCAAAAAAGATATGGGTTTGCATAAAGGTAATATGGTTGCTGGTATTGATAGCAGTGTTTTTAATCAAGTCCTTTTTCATAGTCCAACTAGTATACTGAAATAAATACTTGTACATTTGGAATTAAACATGAGAAACTTGACAAAATAGGCTTTATTCACATGTCGGCCATATTAAATTGAAATCGAGGTAAAATCTTCCTTTTTGGAACTTGCGAAAAGAAATGAAAGCTATGAAATCAAGTTTATTACAAATTAACACCAGTCAGCTCTGATGCATCATTTAAATTTGTGATTTAACAGACCCCAATGTTTTAAGCCACATTTACAAAACAAATTGATAGTGAGGCTTGGAACGCATAAATAGTCTGGCACCATCCCATTCAACAGTTCACAATCTATTCAATATCACGAAACACGATAAAAAAAAATTGGTTTCGTCGTGAATAAGGTCTATGGCCAGACTCCTGTGCTCTTGATTTTGGGTGAGAATGTGAAACTGTCAAGGAGTGCATAACAGGACCCAGACCCAGCTTGAGTCTGACGAGTCCATTTGCAAATATCTGTATATTTCTTTGTCAGACTTTGTGAAAACAGCAGTCCAAATGACCTAAACAAAGTCAAAAACCAATTGGCTGGTTCTAACCGTCCTACTGTTTAAACATTCACAGACGGTGAACTTTCCACCCATTTTTCCTGCTATACTTTTAACACAGGCTAGTCACCAACAGTTGGATCATATGTCAAGTAAGCACTGTGACTAGTCAAATTCAGTCAACAGACCACGAACAGACAAAACAGGCAAGTTGTGGGCACAGCTGGCTTATCAATCACCCACAGTCAAAGCACAGCTGCATCAAGTTACATAAACAGTCACAGCAAGTCAATCCTGTTTTAATGTAGGCTAGGAATTCTTAACTGTTGAAAACAGTCACTTGATTGATTTTGACTGAAATGACAACTTGGCTCCGAATGTATGTTTGCATAGAAGGGTTAGTGTGAATATGTGTATCTTTTATAATGCAATACTACAGCTTACCTGTGAGTTGTCGGTTGGCTGTAGTGAGGTGTGGAGCTCAAACGGCACCCCCTCAATTGCTGGAAAATCAATGACAAGAAATTGTTTGGTTAACCAGTGCGCGCTCGATGACAGATAAACACGTAGAAGTGAGGCCGGAAATATCTGTCAGCGACCCGCTCGCAGCGAGTGAGGCCGGAATTGAGAGTGTGCTGCCCGAGGGTGATTGGCATTGATACTACAGGTTTGTCCATTCGGAACAAAATTAGCTGTGCGAACTTGGCGCAATAAGCACACAAACCAGTACAGGCACATGGTGCTCCTCTCACAGGGGCTTTCAAATATAATTATGGTCGTCAAGTACCATCTGCATGGAGTCCATAACCAGAATCTTGTCAGATTTACAAGGGACAACTGTAGTACTATTTTTTTTTTTTTATAGTATAGGTTTTCACGGTCAATTTCCTAAACTGTTCATTCACTTCCGAAAATCGGTCATTCATTTTCCTCTGAATTTGAGAAGAACTCTGATCACACGTTTTGTTTTCGCTACCAGAGCATTTGGTTCCATTTTAGTTCACTCGATTAAGTGATTGAGAAGCACCTTTTGTTTCTGTTCATTCAGACTTGTTTACAAGACTTCTTTTTCGCTTTGATAGGGCGATTTTAAACATTCACAATTCTATTTCCCTTTTAGTTTAATGCCATCGGCACCAGATACAATGAAGGATTTCTTTTTCATTAACCGTCAATCAATTTAGCTGTACCTGAAATCAATTTAGAGAAGGTTTGCTTGCATATATATGAATGCACAGGTAACGTAATTAGCCGTCTGTTCCTCAAAACCGAATGCACAAACAATGAAAAGGATTGAAGTTTCGTTGAATTGAAATGGGATTAAAGACATGCATTCAAATTCAGATGAAACTGAATGATCTATTTTCAGAAGTGAATGAACATTTCAGGAAATTTACCGGGAAAACCTATATTTACACGAAGTCCCTAAAAGCATTAATGTGAAAGGGTTGGTTTTACCTGAGTGTATTCGCTCTGTAGCTGCATTAGTTTGTATCATGGATGCCTGCCTGGTCAAGGTACTGCCTCTTGACGGATACTGGTAAGGCGTGGGCTGGGCCGGAGCCGCACTATCTTCAGCCTTTCTTGGAGATCTGCACAAAGTATTACATTGTAAACCACAAAAATTCAATTTAACATTTTTGGGGGGAAAACTTGTTGTTTAGATTTTCAAAAAGGTCCGCACAATAATACTGCCACATCGGTTTGTCAATGCAAGATACAAGTGTGTACGGTGAGCTCTATAGCTTTATGCTGAAAACTGTAACTTGCGCAAGCGTCATAAACGTGAATTATGTTTTGTTTTCCCATGTAGCCTGACTTTCATTTTGAAAAATTCCCCACAAATTACATTCACAACCTTTCTTTTTCATTGGCTGAGAAATGACTAATTAATGTGTAAAGTTGGTTACGGGTACCCGATGCTATAATCTGGAACCGATTCCTGACATCAACAGTCATGTACTCGGGTGCCCGGTTCCGATGCACAGCCCTAATCGGGGGGGGGGGGGGGGGGGGGAATAGTGCTTAAAACGATAATTACTGACGAGGTCCACTCATGCATTCAATACAAATTTTGCCAAGTTTGTTCTTTCTGTGTATCTCATAAGATTTCTAGAAAACAGCAGCAAAGTGTATGTTTTGTTCACATAAATCTCACACTGGTCAATAAAAATATGCAGGTACTGCCAGGATAAATAAGAAACAAGATTATAACATTTGGCACAATGGACACTGTTTTAATACCTTAAATAATGGCAAGACCAAACTTGGGAGCTGTGTCTACATTTTTTCTTCTAAATGAAACTTCCGTTACCAGCAAAATCTGATTCCTAAATGTCGCATTTTGACTTGAGACTGAAGCGTAGACCTCATATCAAATGTTACATGGAAAATTTTGATCGCAATGCGGCATAAAAATCTCAACATTCTATGTTCCCTTAATCTGATTTGCCTAGTTCTCAAGTATATGTACCAGGCATGCAACTGGGAAGTTGGAAAAAAACGAGGAAACTCCAAACCACACAAGACTTTGTACAGTACTTTTCAATTTGTAATGGTATTCATGAGAAGTAAAAAAAACGAGGAAATCAGCGGATCCGAGGAAAAGTTGCATGCCTGAAGAACACATGGAACACTCATTCGTGCACATGTGGATACTTAAATGAGTTGACCCAGGACACAAATGTGATTTCTGTTCTCAGACTATATATATCTTTGTGCAGGATTTTGAGGCGGGGTTCATGTTAATGTGGACACAGTCATTCTATAAAGCCAACAAAAAAAATAGTCTGTCTCTGGTCAGACTGAAGTTTCGGAATTGATGCGGCGACGCGTTGTTTTTTTTTGGTGTTTTTTTTTTTTTTCAAGCTTGTATTGTACAGACAAGGTGGGTACTATTTTGCTTTTTTGGGTCCTCATTATACATTGGTGTCCTCCATAATTTGCCTTGGTGCCCTTTATCATTTGCCTTGGTGCAATTTCCCCATTCCTTGGCGCTCCTTGGTACAAAAATTTGAGGAGGCGCAGCAATAGAGGGCGCTGTTGTAGCTTCCGTGTTAATTTGAAAAAAAAAGAAGGTTGACGCACATGATTAAAATCGATGGCGCGCTGACCAGAGACCGAGTATTTTTTTTTTGGCCTAAAATTAGGGACCACTTTTTTCCTGTCCCTGTTATATCTGACATGATCTATGACTTATATTTCAGGATGCACTTGTTGATGCAGTCGTCCTCCAAGAGTGATTATGAATAGCAAACTACCTACCCAACAAATAAAAAATTGTATTCTTTATGATACCTGAATGGAAAATTACAAAATATCTAGGTAACATGGACAGGAAAATGTTGCACATGGGACCCTAAATAGAAACGGTTGTGTGTCTCACCCATAATAGCCAACGTTAGCATTATTGGTGTACGGTTGCGGATTGCTGACTGAGTGTGGCCTGTTATACGGAAGTGTGGGCACTGGCTGTGATGTAAGGCTTGGAAGTGTCCCCAACTTGAGGTACAGATATAGACCATTGATCTCTCTGTGCAAAAAAAAGAGAAGAAATTGAGCAGTTTCTAATGGAAATAAGTAGGTGAGGGAATGTTGATGCATTCGGTTGAGTCCAGAACGAATTAGAATGCACCGAATTTATCATTGATATGCTAATGATTGTATGGTTCGATGGTCAGAGCGGGAATTTTGAATAGGTAGTGGTATGTGATGCTAGCGGAGAAACGCGTCACTTGATGCTTGCTACCAGCAACGCAACACACGTAATTTATTTAATTATATGCTATTGTAATGGCTCAAGTAATTCAATCTTAAAATACGTTGTTTTAAGAACCTCCCATTATCATTGCTTAGCTAGCCTGAGAGCGGTGGTCAGCATTGGTCAGTGCATACGTTTCCACTTTTTCCAAAAAGGTTTGTGGTTTTTCGAATCTGGCGATCACCAAAAGCAATGGGTCGAATTTACAGTTTGTTATGTTGATATATATCTTGATGTATATCATGCAAAATTATCAGTTATAATGATGTGTCTTGGAGAAGTTGAAGAAACAAGTGTAGGCTAATTAAAGTGCCGGTTGCTGCAGCTCGCACAATCCCAAATTAATGAGAATAGTGTGTTTTTTGTGTATGATGATTTAAATGATAAAAGTCTGCCCTGAGCCAATGAGGCTTTTCAGGCTGGCCTTTATCAACGGTTTCCTTGGCATGAAACGACTGAGAATATTTCTATTCCCATAGCAGGTTACTCCCCGGCTTATGCTGGTACACATCTATATCCCTGGTGGAGAGAAGCAAGTTTTGTATTTACCCTGTGAGTTAATCCTCATGTGTGCGATAGTAAAATGCACAACTCGTGACTAGTATACAAATACTGAGCGGCTCAACGTGGAATGGGAGGAATTTATCGCAAGGTAAAATCTGGACTTTTCCATTTCATGAGGCGAAGTCAAGTGAACTGGAGAAGTCCAGATTTTACCGAGCGATAATATTCCTCCCATTTCACAATTTAAAGCCACTCAATATTTGTTTTATTGTCATTTGATATATTTGAACTTTTATTTTAATACAAAATTGGTGGAAATGTATAATTTCTCTCTTCCAAACCACCCCTTCACGAAAATGTTTGAACCCAACGCTGTAGCGCTGGCTCTTTGGAACAATAAACGCTACGCGCAACGCTGAACGCGCACACCAGCATGCATTTGCACACAAATATCGCGTCGTGGAACAAGAATGATCCTAACTGTTCAATAGTATTTCCCATTCCCCATGGGCGACTGGGACTTTTTGAGCCTCAGCGTGATCTGGAGCAATAACGAATGTCACGTGATGTGAGTTCCACCAATTAAATGACAAGGATCGGTTATAAACACACGATAGTGAATGGGCCAGCCAGAATCTGGCTCTTGCTCATATGTATGAGGTAAAGTAATGGTTTCTTGGGCTTACCCCCTTGGTGACGCATCAATGGGTCGGGTTTTGGCCTTTGAGGAGGTCAGGCTGATATCACAGATAGCGCTGTTCACCAAACTTCTCATAACAAACTTTGCGATGACAACCTTCTTCTTAAGGACCGGCTCCTCTGAGGAGTAACAGTAAAAATAGAAATCAGCATCCCGCACAAGTGATGCAGGTTGATGCAATCTGACATTGGAAATAGTAAGAGGGTTTTGTACACATGGCCAATGGACACCGTGTGCAAGTACCCCCTCAACGGCTAGAAAGGGAGAGTTGGGGGAGACCACTGGGAGGGACATTCGTATGCATTGCCTGCGCCTTGCACCCACATGAAGATGCTTCCAGTTTGTGCACATCAAATTAGTCCTGCACACTTTGCCCAATGCATATGGGAACCACGTACGCAAACGCGGCGTGTCCTTCCCAAAGGGGGAGTAATTGCAGAATACCCCACCACTCGGAAATACACCCCTAAATTCTCTGGCTACGAGGTTGGAATCACTGGAAAAGAAACAATTCAAGTCCATGCCAGCTACGCGGATACTAAGTGGGGGTCCATTATTTGAGAACGAAGCAACACAAAAGGAATGGGAGTTGCTGAAAAAAGTCCAAACCAACTACCCTGTTGGCGGCTACGCGGTTACGAAGTGGGAGTGCAATGGAGCATGACGCATAGAACATACAAGTAGCGCTGAGAATGTTTATTGAGGTCAACCAACCGTGGCCTCGTAGCCGGCTACGAGGTGGATAGATCGAGTGGCGGGGTATTCTGCAATTGTGCCCCAAAGGGGCTCTCGAAGGTGGTCACAATCACCATCTCGTGTCCATATAGCTAGTGTACATCTTGTGTCCATATAGCCTGCTCACCTCAGTTTGTTGAATACACACAAACACTACATGCATGGTTTTAAGTGGACAACTTCTCATGCAAACCAATACGCCAAATTGGTAGTCCAACTGCGTATATATGCAGAAGAAGATTCAAAGATTTATACTTGGAATGAAAGTGGCAAATAAATGCATGCTAGTGCCTGGTAACCGAATCTGCATTGATTCTGCAATTTTTCATGCGATCAAAAAGACGATGGAAAATTTCGTTCGCACAAAAGTTAGGGCATATAAAAAAAACCACTTCCTGTTACTTCAGGTTTGTTTAAAACAAGACAATATCTTAAATTTTGCTGGTACCCGCTATGATTTTGCACGAATACAGCGAATGCGCAGTTAGAATACCAAACTGGGTTGTAATGACGGACTTTGAGGGGTTTTTTTTTTTTTTAGATCAGAGCTCGCATCCAAGTTCAGAAGTTAATTGCCTTCAAATATTTTTTGTTTAATACCTTTGTTCATAAGAGAATAGACAAGATTTTCTTACTTGAGTCTGAAGTGGTTGGAATGCATGTGTAGCCCTGTGGGATCTGATCGCCTTCCTTGATGACAGTAAAGTCTGTCAATACTACATTCCCCTGTAAGACAAACAGACAATCGTCACGACAAACTGGATCTCAACTGCTGCAAGCAAGCAAGGACGTCAATCGCTTCTCAAAAGTGGGGGGAGGGGGACATACCTTGATCAGAACTAATACGAGTGCGAAGCGCGAAGCCCTTTCGGCATGGAGTTCGGTGCCCGCTTAAGGGCCCCGAAAATTTTTGGATTCTAGATGTTCTGTGGTGCCATCTGAGGCAATTTCTGACCGCTATAACAAAAACAATTTTGAGCAACAGTTCATCATTTAATAATAATAAAAATAATAGTAAAGAGCATTATAATGCGCCAAATCCATCTTGGTTAGATGCTCAAGGCATCTAACCAAGTTCGAGTTGGGAGTCGTTGAATCAGCTATTCTGAGCTATAGAATCAAATATAGGCTCAATTTTGATTAGCGGACGACAAAAGTGGGGGGGTGGAGACAAATGCTATGATATCCCCCCACTTTCAAAAGTGGGCGGGGGGGGGGGGGTATACGTTGGTATAGTCCTAGCTTGAGTTGGAACCTATGGACTAGTTGGGGCATAACATCTATACTGACCTGAGCGGGTTGGCGTGTGAAGCAGAGGTATCGCCTGACCTTCCTGAAGAAGCTGTCCTTCCAGATGTCAGCATCCTGGCCGTCTGTGGTGCTCTCAATCTGAGAGAAACAACAAAACATACGAGTGTCATAGCCTCGTGGTCTGGAGCACTGAATTTGTGGTCTACGGGTAATTCTGCAGGTTGTGGGTTCGAGTCCAGCCTGCGGTTATGGTGCATGTGCCCTTGGGCAAGGCACTCTGTCACTCATTGCTTCTCTCCACCCAGGAGTAAATGGTACCTGTGAGGGCAGAGATGGTTATTGTGGTTGATTTAAGCTCCTTTGCGCCAAAATGGAAACATCGAGCTGTATACTCCCCAGGAAGCTGATATGGTATTTGGAATAAACACCAGTAAAGTGCATGTTGTTATATTTTCTATTTTCATGTTATCAATACCTTAAATGTTGGGCTCAGATTTTTGGTACTAAACAGGGCAAGGCACTTTGTCACTCATTGCTTCTCTCCACCCAGGAGTAAATCGGTACCTGTGAGGGCAGTGATGGTTATTTTGATTGATATTTACTGCTTTGCGCCGAAATAGCGGCATCGAGCTATATACTCCCCGGGGAGCTGAGATGGCATTTGGAATATACACCATTAAAGTGCATGCTGTTATATTTTCTATTTTCATGTTATCAATACCTTAAATGTTGGGCTCAGATTTTTGGTACCAAACAGATGATGAAGTACAACCCAAACCCCTGTTTTCTTTACTCACAACTTGAAAGTGAACAGGGCATCTCTCTTTGTCGGCCACCACGCAGACCCCAGTAACTGGCAGGGAGTCATTCGCCATATTGTCTCCAGGAAGCCCTTGATGATGTCAGTCTGATTTCAGGTGTTTTATTTTTTTAGGCTACTTTCGTTCGGGAAACTTCTCTATGTACAATCTGATAATTCAGGACCGATCACCATGCAACTTCTAAAGTGTTCATCCCATCAAACAATTCTGCAACAAAAGCAAAGGGCAAATATGGGTAAGGCCAAAAAAAAGAATACTTCTGCTTCCGGTTACCCGACCGACCCTATTTTTAGGCTGCGACCCTTAACATTTTATCGGCGATTCCAAAAAAACATTAAAAATAAAAAAAAAATTGAATAAATACAAATAAAATGTGTCTTTTCTGTCTTCACAAAATACCTCTCAACAACCCTTTTGCATCCAAAAATGCTTGTATTTATTTGTTTTCTTACTTACATTCACTTTTTTTTCAAAGAAACCTCCGTTATTACAAATTCGCTTCGCGATATAACTACTTCGCAATTCGATGTCACGCACGGTGACTATAATCACGTGGCGACGACTGGTTCCCGCCGCGCCGCGCAGGGGCCAATTTAGAAGACATAATGAAAATGCGGTAACCAGTCCATAGCTAGCTATGTGACCGATAACGCGCTATCAGTACAGTGCAGGCCACTGTCAACTGGTCGGATTCGACATCGTAAAAATGCCAAGAAAACACCGATGGAGAAAGAACATTTTTTGCAAGTTAATTTACAGAATTGATCTAGCTTGTCCGTGTATGTATTTTCTGTGTTCAGGAGTTCATTTTGAGATCGCACTACTCGTATTTGGAGTGATACATGCCGTGTGTTTCCCGAAATTGTTGACGGTAAAAACAGCTCTGACGGCCCATGTTGGGCCGCTCGCCACACACGCACGCATTACACACCTCGGAGTTTTGGCCAGCTCCCAGCGTCTTGACTAGCGTTGTGCATATGGTGCGAACGGCCTGAATTTTCCATTATTTTTTGAAATTATCGAACGTAAATATATTGACAATAATTAAAGGTAGGTTTTACTCACTTTTTGTTGCCATTTCGTGTATAGCTTTCGTAGTACAATAGAAATAGTTCAGGCTAAAACTTCTCATATAATTGAATACCCCATTCAATCTGCATAAAAAAAATTGGCCAAAAAAAAAAATTCCGACCGACCGACCCTATTTTTGAAAGGCATGTAATCGGAAGCAGAACTATTTTTTTTTTGGCCTAAGCAATGCTACAATGGCATAATGCTATCAACCTTCAATAGACCATTATCATGTTGCAGCCATTTGATTTTTCCCATTCAGATCAATGTAATTAAAGCGAGGCTGGAAGGAAAAATAGTCTGGTCCCTTTTTGCACAAAAACATTATCATTCAGTAGTATGATTGGATACAGGGAACATGAATAAAATGGTGGAAGCATGATAAAGGTCTATATTTCTGACAGCCACACTGTGTGACTGCACCAACACACTGCATGCCCCGTTAAAGACGTCTACAGGCCTACCTGTACTGAAGCAGTCTTCAAATTTCTAAAGAAAAAAAAAGGACAAATCCTGGAGAAATTGAGAGAAAATGACCAGAATATTTGTAACCCCATGCATTTTCAATGCACTGCTTCGCTTCTTGCCGCCAGGCCCGTTGATGTACATGTGCACCTTAATCTGAATTGATTCGTAAAAAGGTCCATTGACCAGAGGTATTACTGGATAAATAAATAATGTGTTACTAGTCATGACTAGTTGACTAGTCGCGACTTTTTATCGCAACTAGTATACAAATATTGAATGCTTCGAGTGGTGTAGTAAAACTAGCCTCCCGAGGTGATCCATGGACATTCTATTTTCCCAAGGCGAAGCCGAGGGAAAATAGAATGGTCCATGGATCACCGAGGGAGGCTAGTTTTACTTTACCACGAGATAAAGCGTTCAATATTTGTTTTATAACACTTCACCCACAGATTCTGCTTGATTTTAATATTTTAAATTATTTAAATCTGAACACAGTTGAAATAACTTCAATTTCAATACAAAATTGGTGGAAAATGTATTTCTCTCTTCCAAACTACCCCTTCACGAAATGTATGAACCCAAGTCTGGGGCGCGCTCTCTTTGGAACAATACGCGCTACGCACAACGCGCACCCACTTGCACACAAATACCGCGCCGTGGAAATAGTACTTTGGTTGCTAATGGTATAGTACTTTGGTTGCTACGGGTATAGTACTTTTGACCGTGCACAGAAAGATAGCAAAATTAGAAAGTAACATGTGACTCGCTTTCGGCCAATCAAGACACAGAATCTGTGGGTGAGGTGTTATAATTGCGACTATTGAAATTCACTAGTCATCCAAGCCAAAAGCTATACCCTTTTTTAGTTACCCTATGACACTATGTGTATGATGGGTGAGGTCAGGTAAGGGTGTACACACACCACACCTATCACTTGTCAATGATCATGACTAACAATGTAACATAATAGTATTTAAGGCCCAAAAAAAAAAGTCTCTGGTTTCTGGTATGCGCGCGCGTCGCCGTAGCCATGCGCATCGGCAAAATGAAAAAAGTTTTTTTTCAATGTCTCAAAATCGCCAAACTCACTGGTTTGACTGGAATCCTGCTGCTGCACAATTTTAACGTGTTTTTAGATGGGGTTATGGTCGAGAATAAGCTTTATATGGCCTCTCTAGACTCCCATATATTTGCACTAAGTTTAGTCGGGCACCATTTGCAGTCATCAGCCGACATTTGAAGCAAAAATATCAGGTAAAAAAAAAAAAAAAGCCGCGTCGCCGCACCACTTTTTGGGCAAGCTCCATACCAGAAACCGGAGACTTTTTTTGTGTGGCCTAAGCCTACTATTACACATCCTTTTCATAGACCCAGTAACTGGGGCAGAGAACTCCTTTTTTTAATTTTGACTTTTGTCGGTCATTCGTTAAAGGGGCACTGCGTCATGAAATCCACGAAATGTTCAAGTTTTGGATTGTTTTACTTATCCTATTTCAAACATATGATGAAAGGAAAGCAACCTAATGCTAATAAATGTCTAACCCTTCCCGAGAAAAGAACAAAAAACTGGGTGGTTGTTTACATCGGACACAATGGAGTACGCATACGTTTTTTGTGTCGTTTCAGTGAATGTACAATACACCTTGTATATGTCACATAAAATTGCACACAGCACCAATGCACAAAATGTGGTTTCTTACACGTTCGCAAAAGGCGAACACTTGATGGCTGGAACTTCAATGGACATGATGGAAGCACAACTAGCATGAACAGCCTGACAATTTGGGGTCGCAAAAGTGGACCCCAAAAGTCTTTCTCACACGAATAACACAACCCCTTAAGAAATAACACAAAGCCAGGATAGCATGGATAGTTCAACTTCAAGTTCATGAAATTGCGTGATGTTCTTTCCGATTAACACTAGCATTTCATTCAAAATCAAAGCGCGTTTTGAAGCTCAATCGGGCTCATTCCAGGACGCAGTGTCCCTTTAAAGTAAACTGCATAGGCCCCGAATATTTTTTTACCAAATTGTATTAGTGGGTAGAGAAATACAAATTATACATGGCATGCACTGCAAAACAGGATGATATTGCGAAGTAGGGCCTATCTAATTAATTTTGTAAACATGGTATTAGACAAAATGACAGACGCCAATTCAAGTCCTGATCTAAACAAACCTGGCGACAAATTAATTGCCAATTAATTTCAACAGGTAACAGAAGTACTTACTTGAATGCAATAAATAATCAATACGTTCTGCACTCATTTTCGAGTTGATTACATGGTGAATCTGAATCATCATCGATGCGATATTGTGATTGATCATGATCAATTTCGTAGAGTTGCACGTTCACTGGTTTACACAGGACCACTGTTCCTTTATCCACTAAAGCCACGGTCGGATACCAGGGAAATCCATATTTTGGTACAGCGCCCTCACTTGTTCAACTTCAGCAGAGGGAACCGGAAGTACTAGTCACGAGTAAACCAAGCTGATCTTGGCACGAAAATCAGGCCGGATTTTCGGCTGGCCGGATTTTCGGCTAGGCACTATTTTTACGGCGGCGCGCCGCCGTGAAGATTACCACTACGGTGGCCCTAAACAGTCATTGCAAATAAACCTTAGGAGAAAACGAATTATAAAGGTTGATTACCTTAAATAACTGAAACTGTTGTTTATTCGACTCTAAAGTAAATCGTAATGAAAACCGTGGCAATTTATTTTCAGGTTTGGGAATGTTAATGTTATAAGTTTTAACGTTACTGAATTAAGGTTCTGCCTTATAGCCGATGAGAGGGCGCTATATCCGCCAGACTGCCCCTTAGGTACATGTAGTGGTGCGTTGCGGGAAGGACCGGGTCCCAGGCATGAGAATCCTGTTTAATCAGGAATTCCTATTTGTTTTTTGCCAAAATGTACCGGGGTGCCTCATTTCACATTTTTCTTTCCTTTTTTTTTCATGAAGATTAATGCTCATACGGCCCGGCCGCGATTTTCTTTTCCCAAACTACATGGTTGTTTAGCGCCCTCTACGATACTTTTATGACACGTACGTACGCAGGTATTATTAAATGTAAAATGATTCTGTACTTTCCTAAATGCCAGAAATTTCCGGGTTAAGGCACATCCAAAGTGTATTCTATTCGCACCCCGAATAAATCGGTATTGAAACAGAGTCAGCCCAATTAAATTATTCCGACGATTGATAATTAAGGTACAAAATGGCCGTTTTACAACGAAAATACGAATATCCCATTTTGAAATGATTTTGTACCATCCTAAATGTCCGAAATGTCCCGTTCCAATTGCATACACGGGTTGAGGGACATCCAAAGTGTATTCTATTCGCGCCCCGAATAAATCGGTAATGAAATAGTGTCAGCCCAATTAAATTAATCCGACGATTGATGATTACAATGCAAAACAACGGTTTTCCCAACAAAATACGGCCGGACATCCCATTTTGAAATGATTTTGAACCATCCTAAATGCTCGAAATGTCCCGTTCCAATTGTATACACGGGTTGAGGGACATCCAAAGTGTATTCTATTCGCGCCCCGAATAAATCGGTATTGAAACAAAGTCAGCCCAATTAAATTAATCAGACAATTGATCATTACGATACAAAAGACCGGTTTTTGCAAAGAAAATACGGATATCCCATTTTGAAATGATTTTGTACCATCCTAAATGTCCGAAATGTCCCGTTCCAATTGCATACAACGGTTGAGGGACATCCAAAGCGTATTCTATGCGCGCCCCGAATAAATCGGTATTGAAACAGAGTCAGCCCAATTAAATTAATCGGACGATTGATAATTAACGTACAAAATAGCCGTTTTACAACGAAAATACGGATATCCCATTTTGAAATGATTTTGTACCATCCTAAATGTCCGAAATGTCCCGTTCCAATTGCATACACGCGTTGAGGGACATCCAAAGTGTATTCTATTCGCGCCCCGAATAAATCCGTATTGAAACAGAGTCAGCCCAATTAAATTAATCCGACGATTGATAATTAACGTACAAAATAGCCGTTTTACAACGAAAATACGGATATCCCATTTTGAAATGATTTTGTACCATCCTAAATGTCCGAAATGTCCCGTTCCAATTGCATACACGGGTTGAGGGACATCCAAAGTGTATTCTATTCGCGCCCCGAATAAATCCGTATTGAAACAGAGTCAGCCCAATTAAATTAATCCGACGATTGATAATTAACGTACAAAATAGCCGTTTTACAACGAAAATACGGATATCCCATTTTGAAATGATTTTGTACCATCCTAAATGTCCGAAATGTCCCGTTCCAATTGCATACACGGGTTGAGGGACATCCAAAGTGTATTCTATTCGCGCCCCGAATAAATCCGTATTGGAACAGAGTCAGCCCAATTAAATTAATCAGACAATTGATCATTACGATACAAAGACCGGTTTTTGCAAAGAAAATACGGATATCCCATTTTGAAATGATTTTGTACCATCCTAAATGTCCGAAATGTCCCGTTCCAATTGCATACAACGGTTGAGGGACATCCAAAGCGTATTCTTTTCGCGCCCCGAATAAATCGGTATTGAAACAGAGTCAGCCCAATTAAATTAATCCGACGATTGATAATTAACGTACAAAATAGCCGTTTTACAACGAAAATACGGATATCCCATTTTGAAATGATTTTGTACCATCCTAAATGTCCGAAATGTCCCGTTCCAATTGCATACACGGGTTGAGGGACATCCAAAGTGTATTCTATTCGCGCCCCGAATAAATCGGTATTGAAACAGAGTCAGCCCAATTAAATTAATCCGACGATTGATAATTAACGTACAAAATAGCCGTTTTACAACGAAAATACGGATATCCCATTTTGAAATGATTTTGTACCATTCTAAATGTCCGAAATGTCCCGTTCCAATTGCATACACGGGTTGAGGGACATCCAAAGTGTATTCTATTCGCGCCCCGAATAAATCCGTATTGGAACAGAGTCAGCCCAATTAAATTAATCCGACGATTGATAATTAACGTACAAAATAGCCGTTTTACAACGAAAATACGGATATCCCATTTTGAAATGATTTTGTACCATCCTAAATGTCCGAAATGTCCCGTTCCAATTGCATACACGGGTTGAGGGACATTCAAAGTGTATTCTATTCGCGCCCCGAATAAATCCGTATTGGAACAGAGTCAGCCCAATTAAATTAATCAGACAATTGATCATTACGATACAAAGACCGGTTTTTGCAAAGAAAATACGGATATCCCATTTTGAAATGATTTTGTACCATCCTAAATGTCCGAAATGTCCCGTTCCAATTGCATACAACGGTTGAGGGACATCCAAAGTGTATTCTATTCGCGCCCCGAATAAATCGGTATTGAAACAGAGTCAGCCCAATTAAATTAATCAGACGATTGATAATAAACGTACAAAATAGCCGTTTTACAACGAAAATACGGATATCCCATTTTGAAATGATTTTGTACCATCCTAAATGTCCGAAATGTCCCGTTCCAATCGCATACACGGGTTGAGGGACATCCAAAGTGTATTCTATTCGCGCCCCGAATAAATCGGTATTGAAACAGAGTCAGCTCAATTAAATTAATCCGACGATTGATAATTAACGTACAAAATAGCCGTTTTACAACGAAAATACGGATATCCCATTTTGAAATGATTTTGTACCATCCTAAATGTCCGAAATGTCCCGTTTCAATTGCATACACGGGTTGAGGGACATCCAAAGTATATTCTATTCGCGCCCCGAATAAATCGGTATTGAAACAGAGTCAGCCCAATTAAATTAATCCGACGATTGATAATTAACGTACAAAATAGCCGTTTTACAACGAAAATACGGATATCCCATTTTGAAATAATTTTGTACCATCCTAAATGTCCGAAATGTCCCGTTCCAATTGCATACACGGGTTGAGGGACATCCAAAGTGTATTCTATTCGCGCCCCGAATAAATCCGTATTGAAACAGAGTCAGCCCAATTAAATTAATCAGACAATTGATCATTACGATACAAAGACCGGTTTTTGCAAAGAAAATACGGATATCCCATTTTGAAATGATTTTGTACCATCCTAAATGTCCGAAATGTCCCGTTCCAATTGCATACACGGGTTGAGGGACATCCAAAGTGTATTCTATTCGCGCCCCGAATAAATCTGTATTGAAACAGAGTCAGCCCATTTAAATTAATCAGACGATTGATAATTAACGTACAAAATAGCCGTTTTACAAAGAAAATACGGATATCCCATTTTGAAATGATTTTGTACCATCCTAAATGTCCGAAATGTCCCGTTCCAATCGCATACACGGGTTGAGGGACATCCAAAGTGTATTCTATTCGCGCCCCGAATAAATTCGTATTGAAACAGAGTCAGCCCAATTAAATTAATCAGACAATTGATCATTACGATACAAAGACCGGTTTTTGCAAAGAAAATACGGATATCCCATTTTGAAATGATTTTGTACCATCCTAAATGTCCGAAATGTCCCGTTCCAATTGCATACAAGGGTTGAGGGACATCCAAAGTGTATTCTATTCGCGCCCCGAATAAATCGGCATTGAAACAGTGTCAGCCCAATTAAATTAATCCGACGATTGATAATTACGATACAAAACACCGGTTTTCCAATGAAAATACGGATATCCTATTTTGAAATGATTTTGTACCATCCTAAATGTCCGAAAATGTCACGTTCCAATGGCATACACGGGTTAAGGGACATCCAAAGTGTATTGGTATCGTGCCCCGAATAAATCCGAACTGAAACAGTGTCAGCCCAATTAATTTCATACTGAAGCTTAAATTCAGGCAACACAAACATTTTTCATCAGAAATACGGATTTCCGGCTGCGTAATGAATTTGTTCCATCGTTAATGACAGAAAATTCAAATTTTTTTAACAGTGCTTCAAAGAGATGATCCAAAAAGATTTTATAAGCGCCCCGAGAAAATCTGTTCATTGAAAAGCCCAGCCCAATTAATTAAATTATTAGACGAAGATCAGGCTTTTTGCCCAAGACTCGTTGTTTGTAGTGCGTGAAGGGAAGACCGAGTACGGCGGCCAAGGGTCCCAGGGACAGCCCGGCCGGCGCTAGCATGCGCGGACCGCTGCGCGCTAAAATTCACGCAACACAAACATTTTTCATCAGAAATACGGATTCCCGGCTTTGAAATGAATTTGTTCCATCGTTAATGACAGAAATTCCATTTTTTTTTTAAATCCTTCAAAGAGATGATCAACGAAGATTTTATAAGCGCGCCGAGAAAATCTGTTCGTTAAAAACCACAGCCCAATTAATTTAATTAGAAGACGGAGATCAGGCTTTTTGCCATCCATTGACATTGATTGAAACGGAAAGCCGTATTTTCAAACGATTTTGTTCCATCGTTAATTACAAAAGTATTCAGATCTGAATGGATAGGAGGGTGAAATGACTTTCAAAGTTTATTTTATAAGCGCCCGAATAAATTCGTATTGAAACAGTCTCAGCCCTATTAATTTTATACCGAGGCTAAAATTCAGGCAAAACAAACATTTTTTATCAGAAATACGGATTTCCGGCTTTGGATTTAATTGGAATGAATTTGTTCCATCGTTAATGACAAAAATTTCTCTTCTGTCACCCTTCTACTTTTACCGTTTTTGCTATCCATTGTTTTTAAAATATGTAAGGGTTGGATGACCTTAAACTTATTAATCCAAGAAGTACCAGTATAGCAAATGAAAGATACCAAATGAACGTGGAAGTTCCGTCATTCATCAATCGGCCTCGACCATTTGGTTTTTTATAAGCTGCATCAGAAGTCAGTCGAAACATATATATCCCAGTCCAATTTCCCATCTTGTTTTCAGAACAACAAAATGCATCCCCTGCACTTTTAATAGTTGAAGAGGTTGCATATAGTCGATAGAAATAGGGTTTGACTTCATTACAGTGTGGTCAAATCATGGACATGGACAAATTCACTCATATGGGTATAAAATCCCAATAGCGGTGTATATTAGATTTCGTATTTCAATCTTACCCGTAAGATCAATGAAATTACAATCATATGCCAACTTTAAAAATTGCATGTTGCTCAATATGGAAAACAAAATCACTTACATTACAGAAACATACATATATACGCTTTTCATTATCTTGTATGTGAAATGGCATTCATCACACCATACCAAATAAACCCGACACTTTGATGAGTAGATAAAATCACCCTCCCCCCGGCGCTTATCTTGTAATATATGAATGCCATTCCTCACTCCAAATAAACCTGACACTTTGATGAGCGGGCAGATAAAATTAACGTGCTGAAATATGTCTGAACAGTAGGGAACATTTTGGTGAATTTGCCCTTGCCTTGTTCAGCATGATTTATTAAAACATAATCAGGGACAGTTTGTGGATGAGTGCGGTATACACTAGGAAGGAAAAACTAATACTCCGTCTGTACAGTGTTACAAAAAAACTGTCCACCCATATTTCAGCACATAATCGCTCCATACCATATGGCTATACCAGACTACTTGTATATGGATTGGCTGGTGGCTGATCTATGGGCTGATACATACGCCTCAGCTCGAGCAGGCCATCCACACGGGAACCATTAATTTTACGACCATGTGGCTGGCAGTGGCCAGGCTGGCCGCTGGGGACTTCTTTGTGAGGTCAATTATCTTATCTGCATGTTGATTGATAGAACAGTGTTTCCCGGTGTGAGGTCTGCAGTGTGTCCTTATACAAGGCTACCTAATTCCTCCAACTGCATTAGAAAAAAAATTGGGCTGGGTTTTTCAATCAACAGATTTTCTCGGGGCGCTTTATATGAAATATTTTTCGATTATCCCTTTGTAGGCAAAATCATTTTAAAATGGGATATCCGTATTTTCTATGGAAAAGCGGTCTTTTGTATCGTAATTATCAATTGTCAGATTAATTTAATTGGGCTGACTCTGTTTCAATACCGATTTATTCGGGGCGCGAATAGAATACACTTTGGATGTCCCTTAACCCGTGTATGCCATTGGAACGGGACATTTTGAGCATTTAGGATGGTACAAAATCATTTCAAAATGGGATATCCGTATCTTCTTTGGAAAACTGCTGTTTTGTTTCGTAATTATGAATCGTCGGATTAATTTAATTGGGCTGACACTGTTTCAATACTGATTTATTCGGGGCGCAAATAGAATAAACTTTGGATGTCCCTTAACCCGTGTATGCAATTGGAACGGGACATTTCGGACATTTAGGATGGTACAAAATCATTTGAAAATGGGATATCCGTATTTTCTTTAAAAAAAAACGGTCTTTTGTATCGTAATTATCAATCGTCGGATTAATTTAATTGGGCTGACACTGTTTCGATACTGATTTATTCGGGGCGCGAATAGAATACACTTTGAGAGTCCCTTAACCCGTGTATGCAATTGGAACGGGACATTTCGGACATTTTAGGATGGTACAAAATCATTTCAAAATGGGATATCAGTATTTTCTTTGGAAAACGAATGTTTTGTATCGTAATCATCAATCGTCGGATTAATTTAATTGGGCTGACACTATTTCAATTCCGATTTATTCGGGGCGCGAATAGAATACACTTGGGATGTCCCTTAACCCGTGTGTGCAATTGGAACGGGACATTTCGGACATTTAGGATGGTACAAAAATCATTTCAAAATGGGATATCCGTATTTTTTTTGGAAAACGGCTGTTTTGTATCGTAATTATCAATCGTGGGATTAATTTAATTGGGCTGACACTATTTCAATACCGATTTATTCGGGGCGCGAATAGAATACACTGTGGATGTCCCTTAACCCGTGTGTGCAATTGGAACGGGACATTTCGGACATTTAGGATGGTACAAAATCATTTCAAAATGGGATATCCGTATTTTCTTTGGAAAACGGCTGTTTTGTATCGTATTTATCAATCGTGGGATTAATTTAATTGGGCTGACACTATTTCAATACCGATTTATTCGGGGCGCGAATAGAATACACTTTGGATGTCCCTTAATCCGTGTATGCAATTGGAACGGGACATTTCGAGCATTGAGGATGGTACAAAATCATTTCAAAATGGGATGTCCGTATTTTGTTGGGAAAACAGCTGTTTTGCATGGTAATCATCAATCGTCGGATTAATTTAATTGGGCTGACACTATTTCAATACCGATTTATTCGGGGCGCGAATAGAATACACTGTGGATGTCCCTTAACCCGTGTGTGCAATTGGAACGGGACATTTCGGACATTTAGGATGGTACAAAATCATTTCAAAATGGGATATCCGTATTTTCTTTGGAAAACGGCTGTTTTGTATCGTATTTATCAATCGTGGGATTAATTTAATTGGGCTGACACTATTTCAATACCGATTTATTCGGGGCGCGAATAGAATACACTTTGGATGTCCCTTAATCCGTGTATGCAATTTGAACGGGACATTTCGAGCATTTAGGATGGTACAAAATCATTTCAAAATGGGATATCCGTATTTTCTTTGGAAAACGAATGTTTTGTACGTTAATTATCAATCGTCAGATTAATTTAATTGGGCTGACACTATTTCAATACCGATTTATTCGGGGCGCGAATAGAATACACTTGGGATGTCCCTTAACCCGTGTGTGCAATTGGAACGGGACATTTCGGACATTTAGGATGGTACAAAATCATTTCAAAATGGGATATCCGTATTTTCTTTGGAAAATGGCTGTTTTGTTTCGTATTTATCAATCGTGGGATTAATTTAATTGGGCTGACACTATTTCAATACCGATTTATTCGGGGCGCGAATAGAATACACTTTGGATGTACCTTAACCCGTGTATGCATTTGGTACGGGACATTTCGAGCATTTAGGATGGTTACAAAATAATTTCAAAATGGGATATCCGTATTTTCTTTGGAAAACCGCTGTTTTGTTTCGTAATTATCAATCGTGGGATTAATTTAATTGGGCTGACTTTGTTTTAATACCGATTTTTGGGGGGCGCAAATAGAATACACTTTGGAAGTCCCTTAACCCGTGTGTGCAATTGGAACGGGACATTTCTGGCATCGTAGAGGGCGCTTAACAACCATGTAGTCTGGGAAAAGAAAATCGCGGCCGGGCGGTATGAGTATTAATTTTTATTAAAAAAAGTAAAATTTTGCAAAAACAGGAAAGAAAGATGTGAAATCAGGCGGCCCCAAAGGATATTTTGGCAAAAAACAACGGGGGGCGTGGGGGCGACAGCCCCTCCGTGAAACCTTGTCGACACCCCCCCCCCCCCCAACTGAGATTTTCATTGATCTACATTTCATTACATTGATCTACATGACACCCCCCATGAAATGTTCCAGCCCCCCCCCCCCCCCCGAAATGTTCCAGCCCCCCCCCCCCCCCCCCCCCCCCCCCCCATGGCTATGCCACTGTTCTCATGCCTGGGACCCGGTCCTGCCCGCCACGCACGCTACTCAAGGAGTAGTCTGGCGGATATAGCGCCCTCTCATCGGCTATTAGGCAGAACCTTAATTCTGTAACGTTAAAACTTATAACATAACATTCCCAATTCTGAAAATCAATTGCCACAGTCTTCATTACGATTTACTTAAGAGTCGAATAAACAACAGTTTCAGGTAATCAACCTTGATAAGAAGTTGAACTTCCTTTATAATTCGTTTTCTCCTAAGGTGCACTTGCAATGACTGTTTAGGGCCACCGTAGTGGCAATCCTCACGGCCGTGCGCCACCGTAAAAATAGCGCCTAGCCGAAAATCTGGCCAGCCGAAAATCCGGCCCAATTTTCGTGCCAAGATCAGCCTGGTACGAGTAAACAACTGAGCGCAACTTTATTTACGTCATCATGAGACTGACAGGGCCGCACCTTTTGTAGAACTAGAAGTTTACATTTTAATTTAAATCACCATCGACAGTCATGGTATTAATCACCCACCTTCTTGTGCTGATTACCTTTGGGTATTTCGCTTCTAGTTTTGCACTACCGAATGCGAAGGTGAGCTTGTTTCACTGTTGGCAGTTCATGCCTTTTTGACCATGTTGACAGTCGAGTGATCAGGTGATGTGCACGTGACTGGCCTTGACTGAAGTGTTTTTATCATCAATATCATAATTCATGTGACAGGTTACTACAACGTTTAAAAATTAAACAAAAGATAAAGGTGTACTTTAGGACCCATCTATCTATTTCTTAAGTTCTTACAGTGCTCCAAAACAACTTCTGCAACTTCAAGCAATCTTTGCCTTAATTTTCAAGATTTTCAACAATATTTTGACAATGCTATTGCTAATTGCTAGGGCTATATGCGTTGCCCGACTGCATAACCCTTACACTTTTTACAGTACTAGTAATATCGCAGCTCTGTACTGTAGTACGACCAGACGACCGATGCTCCCTTAAACATGTTAAACACTAAACACTGATGTAGCGATTTTGCTACCGATTTTGATCGAGATTAGCTTCTCATCAAGGCCTTGGCCTCAATTTCAGGATATGTCACTGGGCGAAGACCGTGTAAATGTATTCTTTTTGCTCCACCTAGAACTTGTAGGAGCTCTTTCTTCGATGACGTAGTTCACATTTTCTTCTTCCATCTCGTTTTCGAATTTTCTGAATTTGACAACTAAAAGTTTCAAGATTTTTGTCTCCAATTTTGGGTTTGTTCTTGCTCATCAAAACCATCGACAATTTACCCAAAGGTGATTAAAATACCTTATCAATAATAATTTTTCTACATTTGTTTTCTAACTATTGGCCAATTTTGACAGAGATCGGACAATTCCCAATTACATTTTTGGATTCCCTAAATTCAAAGCCAAGAAAGTTATAGGGCCTAGTATGAAAGTATGGTGTGTAATCCCAAATAATCCTAGAAAATCTGTGAAAAGGGTCACAAGTCAAACTTACATTACTTTTATTTTTCCTTATAAAAAAAATGATCGAAACGGGCCTAAAATTGCTGGATTCAAAACATCATAACTTCTTATTTTATGTCACAGGAAGATGATCCTCAGACATTAAGGTCTTTTAAGACCTTTACAACATTTGTACAATAATACAAGTTTTATTAGAATCTGTTTATTTTGAACATTTTTGACACATACCTATTCCAAGTGTGGCCTTTATTTACAGAGGTAGTCCCGTAGTACAGAATAAACCAGTTTCGTGTCCCTGCTTGCTTCCTTTTTCCCACCCACCCCTGGCACTACTTAAAAATATTTTTGAAAAACCCATAAATGGTTCCGCAGACCAGGTGCGGATCCAGGGGTGGGCCGTGGGGGCACGTGCCCCCCGTCAAATTGAGTCCACAAAAAAATAAAATGACTAAAACAGGGCCAAGAGGGGGAGGTGAAATGGAGGGAAGGAGGAGGGCAACCTTCTAACAAAAATACCGGCGCTGATATTAAACATCAGCGGCCTGCAAATATTGTGTAGTGGCCGTATGACACAGGGAACTCGAGAAGCTATGAAGTAAACCGCGATCCCACCGTATGTAACCCTGCATAGTACATGTATATCGTTTATGAAATGCGATTCACAAGCGTACGTACCGGTACGAAAAACACGCACGTGACAGCCGATGTGCTGTGTTTAACGCAATGAGCGCGCGACATACACGTTGAACGCTGCTCTTTGGACCACACTTCTGGTCAAGGGGTGTGTTTTCGTATAACACTTTGCTAGCATTTCTTCCACGCACTTTCAAGGAGTCCAAAACGTGTCCGTTTCTGTGGGAAATTTCCGTAGAAAATCTTATCTTATTGATAAACTGAAAATTTACACTTGATGCAAAACATTAGAAAGCATCCTTGCAAAAGTTTACAAACTAATTCTATACAATTAAAAAATAAAATACACGAAAACAATTATGCAGACGAAAATGGTTATCAAGTGAAAAACAGAAGAAACTTAAAAGGCTTGTTAAAGCAAGAGTATATATTAAACCAATGAAAAAAATCCTTATTTAACTTAAAACATTTTGCTCAAATAACTCGCTTACAAATTTTACAATCGGACCTCCTACAATCGGACCAATGTTCTTAAACAATCTTATTGATGTTGACCACAAGCTAATAATGTCTTTCCAACACAGGTGAGTCCCTATATTGCAGCTCAGCTGCCTCTGTGGGAGCACGGGGAGGCAGATGTGGTCATCTACCGCATTCCCTTGCTCAGTTACACCCCTGGAGGGCGCCTGCTGGCCGTCACTGAGGCACGGAAGTACACTGGGGGAGATGCTGGTCCTAAATTCATGGCCATCCGCAGGTCACAGGATGAACTGGGTGAGATTGTGGACCCTTTATGTGCCACTTCATATTTGCCATAACTATTGAGGAGTTAGTTAGTTCTGGTGTGTTCTTGAGTAGGGTTCGAGGTTTATCCAGGCTGTGTCCTCGACCCCTCCCTCCCCTTACTTTTTTGACAATTTTGTTGGACAATCCTTCCACCCCAAAACATTTAAATGGTCTTGTGATGCCCGTGTGGGCTATTTCAGAAACTCCATTTTGTAAAAACATGAAAGGTAACACTTTGGATGCCCTGTTTTCCAATTCAAGGCAAAATATGAAATAATATTCTTCAGATGTCACTCATGTCATGCATTTTTCTTTAAAAAAATTAAAAAGTTGCTGAGAAAGAGAGGGTATCTATTCACATTTCTTTTGAACTTTTGAACAGGATTCAGGTAAGGAGTTCCAAACTGCAGCAGTACTTATGAGGGAAAAAAGCTAGAAGTATGTTTCGCAGTATTGGCCTTTGGAACAGATACAGTGAAGGGATGATAGGAGATTGCAAAACGTGTGCTACTAGTAGCAAACATAAGTACTTGTGTTTTAGGACGATGAATGAAATTTGCACCATCAAATTCTGTTTTCCCGCAAGGAAATCTGTTAAATTTTAAACAAGAAAGTTTCACTTTTTCCTTTTAACATTTTACTGAATTTACTGCTTTCATTGCTTTCCAGGAGACAAGTGGGAGCCGATGCAGTACATCGTGGATGACGGCTATCTCCTCTTTGACGGCCTCAACAACGGCAACATCATCGTGGATGATGAGAAGGGTATCATTTTCATCATGTACTGCATCTGCTTCCACCACGACAGGTGCGACATCGCCAGCATTAAGCTGGTCAAGAGCGTCGATGACGGCGTGACGTGGTCTAAGCCGATCAACATCTCAGAGCAAGTGGGCACTCCCTCGTTTGCTCCAGGGCCTGGCTTTGGCATCCAAGTGAGCAGATTTTTCGCTTCAATCTTTCATGAGTGTCTAAAAAGCCTGCTATTATGAAACAACATGCAGTACTTAGCCTGCTCAGTGTAACAAATCCAACAGGTCAAAAGCCTTCAGGCCAAATTACCTCAGAGTCTGTTGCCAACTGCAACAGGACACAACTGTTCAGTGGGACTAGCTCTCATTGTCACAGAATTAGCAGTTTATGCACGGTTGTTGATGGCCCAATGCAGCAATGTCCTACAGACTTGTAGACCTGTGGCACTGCTTCGGCAGGGTTTGGGTTAAGGAAATGGATGACTGTTTTCACAACCTTTCATACTCTGAAAAAAACGATCAACATAAAAGACTTCCAAAATTATTCATTTTTCATGTCAAGAAAAAATTGGATCCTAACAAGGGACGGCTAGTCTCCTGCGGTTTCGGCTCTGGTTTTGGAGGCGGTGTGCAGTGCCTGCTGAGTGACGATCACGGGTTGACATGGCGATGGGGAGGGAATATCACCACGAGTGCCAGCTTTGCGCCAGGCGAGTGCCAGGTAAAGTCCAACAGTTTCCAAAAAACTAAGACAAAGTTAGGGGCCGTCTCAGCAGTGTTGTGGTACTCGTACTCGGTACTCGTACTCGAGTACTACTCGAGTACTTTTTTTGGAGTACTCGTACTCATACTCGAAGGTCAAAGTACTCATACTTGAAATGACGGTACTCGTACTCGGGCAGCAAAGTACTCGTACTCGACATGTCGAAATTGTACTCGATCATTAAAGTACTGGTACTCGAATAGCAGTACTTGGGGGGAAATTTTTTTATAGCTTCACTTACCATGGCCTTATTTTATTGATTCTTTCAGTTGGAAATTGTTGATTGGCTTGTTGAGAAATCGAGATTTCCTGATCTTCCTCTGTGCAAGTCCGGCCAAACACATTTCACAGCTAGCCGTGAGTGGGTCTGTATATCGGTCTGACTGGGCCTGGGCCAATTACGCACAATGAAACATTTGCCGTATGGCCGTATTCGGAAATAGAAATCCCTTTACTCGTACTCGGAAGTACAAGTACTCGTAGTCCGAAGTACAAGTACTCGTACTCGGAAGTACAAGTACTCGTACTCGGAGATCCGTTCTTGTACTCGGAGGTACAAGTACTCGTACTCGGCAACCTAAGTATTCGGCAGTACTCGGTACTCGGTAAAACGTACTCGACTACAACACTGCGTCTCAGTTCATATCCAGAGACGAGTTCCGGACAAGTTGCAAACATTATAATATGGGAGCCATGTCACCTTGGGGTTGATTTTCATTGGGCCCCTTCACAAATATTGTATGGGGTATAACTTGCAGGATTCTGAGCAACTTCCCCGCAATCTTGAAGTTATCAGTATTGGTGAGTCAAGCAGTTGCTAATGAAAATTTCCCAGGAACAACATTTTTGGACAAAATAATGCTGTGCTTCTTCTGGATGAAATGAATGATTCTGTCCGTCAAGTTGTCCGAAACTCGTCCCGGATGTGAATTGAGACGGGCCCTTATAGCAAAGCTGATTTCGAAGGCCTGCTCACTAGTGCAGATGTCTTACCACTTGACCACCGAGCTTGCCAGGGTCGGCTGGCTGGTTCTGGTTCGCAAAGCACACCCACTATCACTACCACACGCACTGTTTACGGGATGGCGTTTTGCGTCGGGAAGATGTAAATTCAGTATTTGCTGGGACAAATGGACAGAATTGTCTCTTCTATGCTGGATGTGCCCAACTCAGTAAAGTTTAAAACAAAAGAACTCGCACCAAAATGAAATTCTTTCTTCAAGGTAGAGTAGATCAGTTGCAGCTATCCAAACAGTAATTAAAACAAAAGAACTCGCACCAAAATGAAATTCTTTCTTCAAGGTAGAGTAGATCAGTTGCAGCTATCCAAACAGTAATTGACCAAATTATTGCTGTAAAGCTTACTTGGTGTAAAGAAAGTAATGGCACTAAACTCCCTGTGAAATTATTCCTTCTGGTATGCTGTCATTTTGAAGAAAACAGTAAAATAAGGTCATTTCAAAAGATGAGTCAAGTGACGTTTTTTGATGCGTGCAAGCTTTGACATGACGCACACACGCGCACGGTTGCTATTATTTGTTGGTTCAGTGCGTGACTTTCTGGCGCAATTAAAAATAGTCTTGGCAACTTTTGAATTGAAATTGAGTTCCTAGAATATTATTTTCTCGGAAAACACAGCATTCACAGAGCTGAAACTTTATCAGGTTAGTTGTTCAGCACCCGTCTTTAGATTTTGAGCACTTTTGTTGCTTCAAACGAAACAAATGCACAAAATGACGAAGTGATTTGCTCTCCCTTTAAAAAGTTCCATTTGCAATACATTACTCTAGATTCCAATTATAGCACTCCATCCTCCACGAGGGTCCAAACTAAAATGAAACCTCTATAACCAACATGTACAGCTAAAAAGCTGAATTGGCAGAGTACTTGGACAGACTTTTTTATGACTTCACAGGTTTGAATCTCACCTAATTGAAAATTTCTTGTTCAAACTCTTAAATTCTTTCTTAAATCATAATTGTACCATTCACGAACAGGCTGCTGAACTGCCTGATGGCTCCATCATGCTCAACATGCGCAATAGTCACCATGCCCCGTGCCACTGTCGTGTAGTGGCACGCAGTTACAACGGCGCTGAGACTTTTCCTCTGAACGACGTGTGTGTGGACAAGGCTTTGATTGAACCAGGCTGTGCTGGAGGAATGCTGTATCACAGAGACGTGCTGTTCTTCACAAACCCTAAAAGTACCACTGCAAGTAAGTTATTGAATTCTTCATGAATTGCCATTTTGAGATTTTCAAATTATTGTGAAGAGTTCTTTGCATGTCATTCTTTCATTTAATGCATTGTAAAGTTCTGTAGAAAGTGTCTGGCATATTGTCACTAAGGCTTAGATGGTCTGGTGCCAGCTCATCCTGGGTTGCCCCCTCGTCCTTTCTTACTTGGTTTGCAAGCCAGATGGGTGGCAGCCTTCGGCCTTGGTGCAAGGCCAAGCCAGATCAGTCGCCATTTGCAGATTGTGCTGGACACTAAAGGGTGCTTCGACTAAGCTCCGATATCTTCGTTTCCTTTCTTGGTTTTATTTTACATGCCAAGTTCTGCAGCCATAAAGCAAAGTAGATAAGACATTGGAGTTGTAGAAGCAGAGTTTCAACTTCGGTCAGAATTTCTCGCCTAACCATAATTGTGTTCAGTTGGTTAAAGGCTGCGGAGGTTTTCCCCATTTTACATGCGATTTCCTTGTCCACTGTTCTTTGTCTACCTGGGGAGTCTCATCAACAACCAAAGACTTCAACCGTATCTACCTTACCCTGGTTGATCATAATGTCGGAAGGTGGTCTGTGATCACCCAAGAACATGTTTTTGGTTTTCTTGGAGCTAACGACTAGCCCCAGCCCATCTGCACTGTCACTAACGGCATCCACAAGCTTTTGGAGTCCCTGGGTACTGGCCGACAGCACTGCGATATCGTCTGCAAAGTCAAGGTCCGACACTTTGCTTTCACCCAACCAGTCAATGCCTGGGTCTGTGTCAGTTTGTTTCAGGACCCAGTCGATGGCCAAAGCAAACGGGAGTGGGGAGAGGATACAGCCACGAGGGGGGCCTGATACTCTTGACATTTCTCGATGTGCTGGAGAGTAAAAGTTGTTAAGCACCCGAGTGCTTCGGTCTAAAACATAATAATGGGTATTCGTAAAGTGCACATATCCACTAGCATTGGTGCTCAAGGCGTTACATAATTATTACCCTGCTCATTGGGCCAATGAGACATTCCAAATACCATCTCAGCTCCCTGGGGAGTATACAGCTCGATGCTGCCATTTCAGCACAAAGCAGCTAAAATCTACCACAATAACAATATCTGCCCTCACAGGTACCCATCTACTCCAGGGTGGAGAGAAGCAATGAGTGACAAAGTGCCTTGCTCAGGGGCACACGCACCATAGCCGCAGGCTGGACTTGAACCAAACCTGCTTGCTCCTCACGTAGTTTGCCATTACTACCACATCTTGCTTCCTGTTCAGAATCATCCGGCAGTACACTTAAGCAGGAATCGACAATAAGGTGTAATACCCCTCCAGTTGTCACAGTCAGCAAGATCTCCTTTCTTTGGGATGCAAATGATGACGCCATCCTTCCAGTCCTTGGGAACTCCTCCCGAGTCGTAGACTTGGTTGCATATCCCGCATATCCACTTCAGTGTCTCCTCTCCACCTACTTTGAGCATTCCCGCTTTGATGCCATCCATACCCGGCGACTTGTTCTTCTTCAATATCTTGATGGCTCTCTGCATATCCTCTTTTGAAAAGTGGTCTGCATTGATGGGGATCGTTGAAGTTGTTTTTTTGGTGCGGTCTGGGCTGGGCCAGGCAGTGTTAGCGTATACTGTTATCGTATAGAGCCCTTTGTGTACACCGTTTGCTTGAAAAAAACTGCTAAAAGTGCTAGTAAATAGCCATTCAGAACTACTTGAACGGAATTTTGGTAATCGTTACCTTTAGGACCCTGTTCCTATACGGCTACAAGAGACTCACTATTTTTACAGCTCAATTTTGAAACTTCTTATAAAGTGCACAATGAAAGCCGGAGACTGATTGGCTGATAAAAAAAAAAATTATATTTTTCATTTTTTTTTTTTAAATCAGCCAATCAGCATCGAGCTTTCATTGTGTCCGGCACTGTCGCCATCTTGGTTTTCGAGCGTGTTTTCTGGTTGTCACCATTGTCTTTTACCCTGTAATTTCCCTAGTAAATCAAAGCCCTACCTGCTTTCCACAAAATTTTAACCTGCTGATATTCAAGAAAGTGTCATTACCAGCTGTTCAGATGTGTCATGAAATATCAGAATGTCACTTTTGAGTGTCATTTAGTCAGCTGTTTGGGGTCTTTTAACCTTTTATAGGAACAGTGTCCTACAGGTAACAATTACCAGAATTTGTGTGCTATGCTTACCATGTATCCTTGCTTGAGCTGATGTATAAATCAGAGGTTGTAAAAGTGAACACTTTTTATATCCTTCCATTTTGTAGGAGTTGACTTAACATTACAGTGGAGTTACGATAACGGTACAACCTGGGATGGTGAGTTTCAGATCTGGGATAAAGCCAGCGGGTACAGCACTATGACAGCTCATCCGGGAGCTTCACCGTACATCTTCATTCTCTTTGAGAAGGGCATCATATCAACAACCGAGTCTATTCAGTTTGTACGCGTGAGCTTGTATGAGGAAGTGTGAACCTCTATGATATTAGCTCTTGTGTTACGGTTCACTTGGCTAACGGGTTAATTAATATTCATACTTTTGATAGAGATTTTAAGTTGAATGAAGAAAGCATTTTAGGTGGAAAATTACCAGGTGCAATTTGTCTATTCAGAAAAAATGTTGCAACCTGACGCCACTTCAGCGGTTGTGTACAAAGTCCACAGAGAGTCAAGAAAATTTAATTTTCGAAGTATTTCCTAACAGAATTGGAAATGTTTCTGAGTCCCAAATTCATATCTTATCTTTTGCAATGCCTGACCTCATTGAGAAACTATATGAAGAAAAAAGTGGCGTCAGATTGCAACATTTTTTCCGTCTATTCTTCCAATTTCAACACAGTAATCAAAATTTAAGTACATATATCAAGAGAAAATCAATACAAAATGTCATTGTGAAACATGATTTTGTTAATATCAGATTGCCTTTGTATACCGGTTACATGATATTTACATACGGCTCTAATAAACAAACACAGTATTACATTATTTTAGCATTACTTCAATTGAGATAAATAATACCTCAATCCACTTTCTTGGAGCTGCAATTTCAACACAGTAATCAAAATCTAAGAACTTGTCAAGCAACTAACTGTTCAAATGGTTTGCCAGTACATGTATAAGTATCAAGAGAAAAAAGTTAATACAAAATGTCACTGTGAAACATGATTTTGTTATATCAGATTGCCTTTGTATACATGATATTCATATACGACTCTAATAAACAAACATAGTTTTACATTATTTCAGTATTGCATCAATTAAGATAAATAATACCTCAATGCACTTTCTTGGAGCTGCAAAAAGCAGAAAAATCGTGTATCACATTTATTTTGATACCAGTGATTACCAATATGCATCACATAACATTTTGGCTCATAACTTGTTGCCGAGAATCTTGTGCTGGTAGGCCATCAGCCTCGGTCCAAAATTTTGGCCACCGGTATCAAATGAGGGGAATAATCGTCATAGCAATTTTTGGCAAGGTATACACCTCTCCAGAGTTGGAAAATATGTGATAGCATTGTAACGGTGGCAGCTTTTTGGGTGTTATCACCCTTTTTTTCAAAATGTCCATCAAAATGCTTGTTACCACTCTAGGGGCGGAATACCTTGCGCATGCACACTACAATCATTTATGCCCTGATTTGATACCAGCCAACCCCCCAGGCTGATGGCCTATAAGCACAGATGGCTGATCCACAAAGCTCCGCCCTGTGATTTTTTTTGGCATTTGAGAGACGCACGTTTAAGAGTCAGGTTTGGTTTAGCCTGAATTATATGCTATGCTAAATGTATACCTATAAACATATTTGTATTTTCTACATGGGTTAATACATACATTTGTATTTTTTTAAATCTTTTTTATTGTAAGTAGTTTGTTAAGTGCTCAGATTTGCATCCAGAAAAGGTGCATTTCTACAGACAGTTTTGGTGCAGTCGATGATCACAGGATGAGCAATCTTTACGGTATGTTTTGCAAAAGAGTTCCCATCGCTATTGGGGAAAGAAAGGGCTGCCAACTGTAATGCATTGAGCCTCAGATTCAGGTTGTTCTCATGCTCACACAGGATTTCTCTCCCTCAAAAAATAAATGAATTAAACTGGAAAATGTTAAAATGATGATCTTTTGCTAAAAAAAAAGGGTTAAAGTGGTCAGAACTTGTCTGAGATTGCAACACAGAGCGTCTAGAATCCAACATTTTGTGGGGACCTTAAGCTCCATTGCAAGATTCTCACTCTCAGCTCTTACAGTTGGCACCCCTGAAAACGTATGTTGGAAACAGCACCCATTCATCCTAGTGATCCCACATTGGCAAAAGTGGCCAAAATTTGTAGCAAATTTATATTTATGCACCAAGTCAGAGAGGTGACTGAGATCACACGTCCAAAAGACAACTTTTTTGAGCGAGTCTAAAGTTTTTGACTCCATGCTCGTTAAGTGTGCTATGCATGTACATGCATGACTAATTAGCATGCATGATTGAAAGCTTTCTTCGCAATTTTCTTAAGTAGCAGTCCTAGAAAGAAGGGCTGTGCATTTTTTTATAATTCAGTATTTGAATGTTTTGATTAATCAGCAATGACCAAATTTGACATGCGCCAACCGAAACTGACCTCCGATCGGGATGTGTGTGCACCTGCTCTAAAGACTCTAAAGTCTAAAGACGGGGTGCTTAACAACTAACCTGATGAAGTTTTAGCTCAGAGAATGTTGTTTATTTAGAGAAAACAATATTCTAGGATCTCAATTTCAATTCAGAAGTTGTCCAGTCATGTTTTGAATTGCCCCGAAAATCAGCATCAGGGACACGTTCTCTTTCAGCAACAGCGTGCACGCGTTTCCAAAAATGCTTCTTTAGACGCATCTTTGGAAATGACCTTCTTTCATTGTTTTCTTCAAAATCACAGCATGCCAGAAAAAATAATTTTACCGGGAGTTTAATGCCAAATTTAAACCAAGTATGCTCTTCTACAGTAATTACCTCAGTTGCTTTTTTTGATAGCTGCAATTGATATACATGTACTCTACCTTTAATTATAATCAGTTGATGATCGAATATTAAAATATTCAGTACATTCAGCCTGGCCCTACTAGGAACTTTTTGCCCTTGCTAATACTGTTGAGGTCATTACATGCATAGTTTTCTACGTTATCGAAGTTTTTAAAAAAGAGGTTATTTTGCATATTCTGCATGTTAAATATGATGTCAACATATAGTACTGAAGAAAATCCTTTGTACCACTAGCAGTGGCCATACCATGACGAGAGAAAACGGGTTGTGCTGTGTTTAGTAGTTGTGACAAATCAGAGATTTGTACGTTTAATGTTAGGCCAAAAAATGGTTCTGCTTCCGTTTACATTGCATTCGAAAAAAGGGTAGGTAGGTCGGTCGGTTTTTGTTTTTGCCAATTTTTGTGTGTGTACAATCACATGGAGGCGTCTGCGTGTAGTCAAGGGTAAAAGGTAGAAATTGATGGTTTTTGGTGTATTTTCTCATTTTTCCCATAAAAAATATAGGGTAGGGCCGTCAGAATAGGGTAGGTAGGGAAACCGGCCTAACCATAAAAAGGGTGTATTTTTTTGTTATTTAATTCAATTTGGGTGTGGATACTTGGTCTAAAATTCTGCTTTGCACTGTATGCATTCTGTCTTTCTTGTATTATTTCTGAGTTTTGTGCTATTTTGATACCTTCATCATATATTTTCCTTGCCATTTTTTCTACCCTGTCATATTTTTATATTGAAGTTGATAACAAAACTTGTGTCTGCATATATAGCTTACTTCTTTAAAAAGAAACGTATATGTATATATTGATTCATGAATTAATGGTGGCATAGTAGTAATGAAATATAATTGAGTGGTGTACTAAGATTTAAACAAATAATTTTTTTCTGTGGCCGCCAGTCAGAAGCCATAAAACCCGTATTCATGCCACGTATTCAGGGATCATGCCCATAGTCATAATGGGGAACCGCCAACATAGGGCTGGATAGCTCAGTTGGTAGAGCACCGGAATAGCAATCAAATAGCAGGTTCAAATCCCGTCAATTACTTTGTTCAACATTTAGATTATAATATCGGTCAGTTTCTCGAAGTGATTTATTGGAAAATAATTTTACTGTTAGCATACAATGTAATTGTGCACATGGGGAAATAAAGTCGTATGAAGTACCAATATTTCTTATATGTTATGGAAATAATGTTGTGGTATTCTAATTCCAACCTTTGTTGTGGTTGCTAATAATGAAATGAATAATAATAAAGAGCAATCTTTCTATTAGATTGGTTCACATTGACACCTCGAATGAGGGCGCTGTTTTGCTGCTGCCACACTTGGGGGGGTTGCTCCACAAAATGCTCAAGTATTGTGCTGTTTTCATGGTGCTTATCATCTCAATCTGTCCATCAAAGTGAAGTGCATGGTGTAGCCCATCTAGTAGACAATTCTGGATAACGGATACTTACTCCAAATAGAGACATTTACAGGATCTGTTTTTCTCCTTGGATATCCAAACACCTAGTCCACTGTGCTTTATTGTCTGCTCCAGTGATTCAATACAATAGGGCCTGTGGCTAAGTCTATGGATCTACAGCCACTTGTACAGAAGAGACAACAGTGGCCTCTATTCACAGGGACCACACTATCAATAGAACAGACTATGCATGCACAAGCCAAATGCATGTACATTGTGTACATGCACATGTACTGTACTCAAGATTACAACTCATTGCTCTGAGATCCTGTGCAAGTAAAATCTTGCCCCAAGGCCAGTTTAATGCTGCAAAGAAACTTGGCATCCTCCGGTCCAGAGGAAGACGAGCGGGTTCCCACTTCAATTCAATTCAATTCAATTCACTTTATTTTCCACATAAAAAAAAAACAATCAGAGTTAAATATATACAAAATATGTGGATGGGGATCCCTAAAAAGCAATGCTTGTCGAGTAGAGATCCCCAGTTACAATCATACAAAAATATACAAGTTACACACACAAACAACACATAAGGACATAACACCCGACATGAATATAAGGCTGTTGTGGAACAGAAAAGTAAGATCACACATTTTCCTTCCACAATAAATACCAAGGATCACGATAGTACATCTGCACGCAGTAATGGTGGTCCTTCTACCAAAGTCCTTCCATTACCCTCTGTATCACTACTCTATCCTTGTGGCAGGTGCAACCAGGAAGTGCTCGACCATCATCACGCCGTTGCATGTGACCATTGCAGTGCCTGGTTTCACTGTGCTTGCATGGGAATATCAGATAAACGTTACAGAAACCTATGTGAAAACAGTAAATTGCCATGGCAATGCGGATGTGACTCCCAAAACGTTTCATCATCTGCGCCAACTTCTGTTTCCATTGTCGATTCATCCAACTTGTTTGATACACTACAGACACCAGATCGTTCTGGGACCGTCTACTCCACAAATTCACCTGTCCCTCATTGTAATGATAGACCAATTCATACTTCAACGCCATCTAAATCCAAGCCAAGCAGAAACACGGAGAAGAAAAAGTTACTTGGTCTGCAAATTAACTGCAACGGGCTCAAAGGGGAAAACCGCAAACTAAAGTTCGGAGCTGCAGTAACACAACACCAGCCAGACATCGTTTTTGGTTGTGAATCCAAGCTGGATGATAGCATTCCTACCTACTCGGTGTTCTCTGAGAAATACGAGGTATACAGAAAGGACCGTTCAGCTCATGGTGGGGGTGTCTTTCTAGCAGTCAGAAATGACATCATTTTTCTTGAAAGGCCGGAATTCGATTCCGACTCGGAAGTGATTTGGTCATCAGTACAATTTGCTAATGGTTGTGTTTATATCGGTAGCTTCTATCGTCCACCGAATGCCACGAATATTACTATGGATCGTGTACAAGACAGCCAGTAAGATCCTTTCCAAGCACAAAAACCTTCCCAACATTATCTTGGCTGGTGATTGGAATTTCCCAGATATTGACTGGAAAAATATGGAGACAACAAACATGCAGACTCAAGCACAGCACAACAGGTTCCTCACCTTCCTCAACGAAAATGGCCTAGTCCAACTAACAAAGGACATAACTGGGCCAAGATCAGGATCCATACTCGACCTTGTCCTGACTTCAAATCCTGAGATAGTTGACAATGTGAGAGTGAAGCCTGGTATAAGTGACCATGACATTGTCATCTTTGACATAAACATGACACCAAAGTAACAGAAAAAGCCCCGGCGCACAATCTATAAGTATGATAAAGCAGATCAACACTTAGTCAAGAAGAAACTGGCAGATGCATCAAGGGAATACTTCTCTGGAGTCCCAGACGACTCACCAATAGAGGACAACTGGAAATTCTTCATTCAAGCCATCACCGATGCCATAACGCTTATTCCCCATTTTACGGACAAAGGGAAATCTAGCCACCCCTACATCACCCAGAAAATCATCAAACAGATGAATAAACGAGACAGGTTGTACAAGAAAACAAGAAAAAACATGAACCCAGAAACATGGGTCACGTACAAATCCAAGCGAAATGAAGTTCAGAGGATGCAGAAAAATGCACATAACTTCTACATGAACAACATCATAACAGCCTCAAGACAGATGGAAAGAAGTTCTGGTCTTTCATAAGGTCACAGAAGAGAGAATCACTTGGAATCCCCACTCTCAGGGTGGCTGATAAAACCTATGCTACAGATATGGAGAAGGCTGCAGGCCTTAACGATCAGTTCGCCTCTGTCTTCACCCATGAGAGTGACTCTGATGATCTCCAAGACAAAGGTCCGTCATCCTATATCCCAATAGAGGATCTAACAGTTAGGCAAAGTGGAGTGTTGAAACAGCTCAAACAGCTAAAAACCAACAAGGCTAGTGGTCCTGATGAGATCCCGGCTCGTATGCTCCATGACTACGCTGCTATTCTAACTCACGTCTTCAAGCAGTCTTACTCTACTGGTGAGCTACCATCTGATTGGCGTAAGGCTCGTGTTGTAGGTATCTACAAGAAGGGCAGCAAGAGTGATCCAGCAAATTATCGCCCTGTTTCTTTGACATGCATATGTTGTAAAATCATGGAGCACATAGTCCTGAGCCACATGGCTAAGTACCTTGCTGCAAATAACATCATCATCGACAACCAACATGGTTTCCGTGAGAAATTGTCGTGCGAAACACAACTCATACAAGCCGTTGATGACTGGGCCTTTAATATCAACAACAAACATCAGACGGACGTCTTGTTTCTAGACTTTAGCAAGGCCTTTGACAGAGTGGCTCATCGCAAGTTGTTGCACAAGCTTGAATACTACGGCATCATAGGCAGAACCAAAGCATGGATCCAAGGTTTCTTGAGTGGTAGGACCCAGCAAGTTGCAGTCAATGGTACCCTGTCTGCACCTGCAGATGTCATATCTGGAGTCCCCCAAGGCTCTGTACTTGGCCCAGCCCTGTTCCTTTTGTACATCAATGACATCAGTGAAGGTGTTCTGTCAACAATAAGGCTTTTTGCTGATGATAGTGCAATCTACAGGTGCATCAAGTCTCGTAGAGATCTTGAGACTCTCCAAGCGGATCTCCAGGCGGTCTTTGAATAGGCTCAGAGATGGGACATGAGTTTCAACATCACAAAATGTTGCCACCTCTGCATCACCCTGAAGAAGAAAAAGCTTGAACACACCTTTACAATCTCTGGCCAGGCCATCCCGCATGAGAAGAAATGCAAATACCTTGGAGTCACCATCGCTGACAACCTAAGCTGGAACACTCAGGCAGAAGCAGTCAGAGCCAAGGCTTCAAGATCGCTTGGGCTGATCAGACGCACCCTTGGAAAATGCAGCAGGGAGGTCAAGGAGACAGCATATAACACTCTAGTAAGACCACAACTTGAATTTGCCACAAGTGCATGGAACCCATACACAATCCGCAACATCAGAATAGTTGAGAGTGTCCAACGCCAAGCGGCGCGTTTTGTCATGATGGACTACCACTGGGAGTCAAGTGTGTCCCACATGCTGACATCACTGAGATGGGACACCGTACGTGACAGACGTCTCCTCCATCAGGTTGAACTCCACAAAATTCAACATGGCCAAGTAAATATAACTACTCCTCCGAACATCGTCCATAACACACGATCAAGCCGACACAGCCAGACCAATCAACATGACCTCATCTACAGGCAACCACTCACCAGAGTTGACTGCTAGCTCTATAGCCCTTTCCCGAGAGCTGTTCGGATTTGGAACAGGCTACCAGTGGCTGCGGTTACTGCGACCACTTTGAAAGAGTTCCAGACAGAAGCTCTCCCAGCTATAAGAGGGATGGAGCTACCAGTTGTAGCTCTCAGGACAAATTGACAATACCACCATCCGATAAGCACCCTAACATCACACACAAAGAGCACACATGGAATCGCAACCCACCCTCTCCAGGACAGCAGCAATGCTTTTAGGAGAGTACTCTAATGCAAGATGCAAGATGACCAAGTGTAATCTTGTAGTTTATTGCTAAAATTCGTGTTCCTGCCCTAGTGAACAACTGCACTCCGTAATTATGTTCTTCTCTGCTGCTTATATATACGAAGCAAGAGGAATCTGCAAAGATAAAAGGAAAATATATAATATATTACATTTTTGTTCACATTCAAAGCATAACCCATTAATGGATTGAGAAGATATGTCATAAAAACAATTTGATATGCCACTTCCCGAAGACTAAGACAAACAAACGAAAACGAATAAATGAAAATACATGCAAGTCCCTTTTGCTAATTTACCTCAAGAAATGGTGAAGACTTGCTCTGCTGCTTCCGGTTCCTTGGGATTCGGAAACGATTTAGAATATCTTGCAGACCGTCATCTCTGCTAGAAGATTAGAAGGAACACGTAAGAAAATGTGTGAGGGACAAGTATGCGCCTGATGCTCTTCTTTTTATTTGTGGATTTTATTTGTAGATTAAATTTATTTTCCTCTAGATTTATCGTATTTAACAAAAAAATAAGGTATCATCAATAGCAGACACAACAAGCAGAAAGGAAAATGACATTAATATTTTTGTTATCTGGAAAATCATTAATGGGATGCCTGGCAAGCAGGGCCATCAGTCATCCGGTGTTCCTCCTCCCTGCTTCCGGTTCCTCCGTGTAAATTAAGATACCGAATTAAGGCAATTCCGACTTGAGTCAGGAGTCCGCAATGAAACAGAAATCACATCCGGTATGGAATGTGCGCATTTTTATGGGAAGTTTTCGGATAGCATTTGCGCACATTGTCTAGCGGTCTTGAATAGCTGCAGCCAGATGCTTTATACATAGGTCATTGGCCACTTCCTTCACAAGATTCTGTGAAGCTCATCAGAGTATCCCAGCGTCCTGTTTGCAGGACGGGGGGTACGAGCGAATTTATGTGATTAATCATGATCAATTTCGTAAAGCGACGGTCAGATACCAGGGAAATCCATATTATGGTATAGCGCCCTCATTTGTTCAACTTCAGCTGAGGGAACCGGAAGAAGTCACGGTAAACTGAGCGCAACTAAATACATCATGCCTACATTATGAGACCGACATGACAGGGCCGCAGAAGTTTACATTTGAATGTAAATCACCGTCGACAGTCATGGTATTAAGCACCCACCTTCTTGTGCTGATTACCTTTGGGTGTTTCGCTCCTAGTTTTCCACTACCGAATGCGAAGGTGAGCTTGTTTCACTGTTGTGTTGGCACTGACGCTCCTAAGACAAGTCCTAGTCCGAAAATTTGGGACTCTCAGTCTCAATACTGTGTATGAGCATGGAGGAAGGAACAGAGTCCCAAAACTTAAGGTATCCATATCGTGCAAAAGTTTGTGCTGCATAATATTAATAAAACCATGCAGTGTGAATCAAAAGTGCAAGCTTCTTACTCACTACAGTTTCTTCAATAATCCCCGAAAACTTCTGCCCTGCAAAGTTGCTGTTGTGAGCATTGCATCACCAAAAATTCAGCTTTTAATTCTAATTTTGCAGGGAGTTATCGAAATCCAAACGCGAAACATCACGTTGATGTGTGCTGCAATGCATTGTGCAAAAAGACTCCTCAGCTAAAACATTTTCATCGTGTAGATAAAACAGCGCCCTCTTGTTGATCTGAGTGAATGCAGAATGTTTCATTTTTTAACAGAGGGCGCTATGTTCATTCGGCCATCGATTAAAAAACAAGTAAGCTGCAAGGCTCTTCCTACACCTACCCAGAATACCTTGGGAATCACACCACCATTTCTAAAGCATGGAGAATGACGTGGATGGTTTTTGAACTGTCAAAAACTTGCCTTAAAATTGGATTTAAGGTCTCAAATTTTGCAGGTGACATGCTTGCAACTTAAGCATTTTGATGTATGTGTTGTGTGGGCATTAATTAGCTGAATGGTGAGTAAAAAAACGTCAGTAGTAATTTTGCACGTTTTTATGCACTCACGGTCCCAGTCTGTGACGCTCCGAGCACTCCACATGTCCGGATTGTTAGTGCGATTCCAAATTATTAGTAGCGTTTATCACGCTATGTTCTTAAACAATCTTATCGATGTTGACCACCAGCTAATAATGTCTTTCCAACACAGGTGAGTCCCTATATTGCAGCTCAGCTACCCCTGTGGGAGCACGGGGATGCAGATGTGGTCATCTACCGCATTCCCTTGCTCAGTTACACCCCTGGAGGGCGCCTGCTGGCCGTCGCTGAGGCACGGAAGTACACTGGGGGAGACGCTGGTCCTAAATTCATGGCCATCCGCAGGTCACAGGATGAACTGGGTGAGATTGTGGACCCTTTATGTGCCACTTCATATTTGCCATAACTATTGAGGAGTTAGTTAGTTCTGGTGTGTTCTTGAGTAGGGTTCAAGCTTTATCCAGGCTGTGTCCTCGACCCCTCCCTCCCCCTACTTTCTGACGATTTTGTTGTTGCATCCTTCCACCCCAAAATATTAAAATGGTCTTGTGATGCCCGTGCGATCCTGTGCTAGTTCGCTGCTCCCACTCGTGTGAAATGCATGGTGAAAATAGCGTGGGTACCAACGATATAAGCGTTTCACACTGTACGTACCGTGCATACGAAGTCACAGCACACTCCCCGTGGGATATCACGCACGTGACATCCCACAGGGAGTGTGCCATGAGGTTTTTATAAACTTAACACGTGATCGTTCTAGGCCAATGAAAATACAGTATTCAAGACAGAGGTATAACAATAGTACTTGTTTTTTTAGGACGATGAATGAAATTGCTCCATCCAAAATTATCAGATTCTGTTTCCTCGCAAGGAAATCTGTGAAAGTTTAAACAAGAAAGTTTCACTTCATCCTTTTAACATTTTACTGAATTTACTGCTTTCATTGCTTTCCAGGAGACAAGTGGGAGCCGATGCAGTACATCGTGGATGACGGCTATCTCATCTTTGACGGCCTCAACAACGGCAACATCATCGTGGATGATGAGAAGGGCATCATCTTCATCATGTACAGCATCTGCTACCACCACGACAGGTGCGACATCGCCAGCATTAAGCTGGTCAAGAGCGTCGATGACGGCGTGACATGGTCTAAGCCGATCAACATCTCAGAGCAAGTGGGCACTCCTTCGTTTGCTCCAGGGCCTGGCTTTGGCATCCAAGTGAGCAGATTTTTCGCTTCAATCTTTCATGAGTGTCTAGAAAGCCTGCTATTATGAAACAACATGCAGTACTTAGCCTGCTCAGTGTAACAAATCCAACAGGTCAAAAACCTTCAGGCCAAATTACCTCAGAGTCTGTTGCCAACTGCATCAGGATACAACTGTTCAGTGGGACTAGCTCTCATTGTCACAGAATAGTGTCAGTTTACGCACGGGTGGTGATGGCCCAATGCAGCAATGTCCTACAGACTTGTAGACCTGTCGCACTGCTTCGGCAGGGTTTGGGTTAAGGAAATGGATGACTGTTTTCATAACCTTTCATACTCTGAAAAAAACATCAACATAAAAGACTTCCAAAATTATTCATTTTTCATGTCAAGAAAAAATTGGATCCTAACAAGGGACGGCTAGTCTCCTGCGGTCACGGCTCTGGGTTTGGAGGCGGTGTGCAGTGCCTGCTGAGTGACGATCACGGGTTGACATGGCAATGGGGAGGGAATATCACCAAGAATGCCAGCTTTGTGCCAGATGAGTGCCAGGTAAAGTCCAACAGTTTTCAGAAAACTGAGACAAAGTTAGGGGCCGTCTCAGTTCATATCCAGAGACAAGTTCCAGACAAGTTGCAAACATTATAATACAATAATAATAACTTTCTTTATTGATGGGAGCCATGTCACCTCGGGGTTGATTTTCAATGGGCCATCACAAATATTGTGTCGGGTATAACTTGCAGGATTCTGAGCAACTTCCCCGCAATCTTGAACTTATCAGTATTGGTGAGTCAAGCAGTTGCTAATGAAAATTTCCCAGGAACATGTCTGGGACAAAATAATGCAGTGCTTCTTCTGGATGAAATGAATGATTCTGTCCGTCAAGTTGTCCGAAACTCGTGATGCGAGAAGCAGTTTTTGAGAAAAAAAACCAGCTTTCTCCGACGCTGGTCGGCCAACCAGTGTTGGAAAAATACAATTTTTCTTGAAAACGTGAGCACACCAGGAGCCACAATTTTACAGGATTGCTTGACTGTCGTTCCCTAACAATCCAGTACGGTATTTCGTGATAACTTGATCATTTCGTTTTTTGATGTTTGCAAATGTTGTATCTTCCCTTTAAATCGTAATTGTACCATTCACAAACAGGCTGCTGAACTGCCTGATGGCTCCATCATGCTCAACATCCGCAATGGTCACAGATACCAGTGCCACTGTCGTATAGTGGCACGCAGTTACAACGGCGCTGAGACTTTTCCTCTGAACGACGTGTATGTGGACAAGGCTTTGATTGAACCAGCGTGTGCTGGAGGAATGCTGTATCACAGAGACGTGCTGTTCTTCACAAACCCTAAAAGTACCACTGCAAGTAAGTTATTGAATTCTTCATAAATTGCCATTTTGAGATTTTCAAATTATTGTGAAGAGTTGTTCTTTGCATGTCATTCTTTCATTTAATGCATTGTAAAGTTCTGTAGAAAATGTCTGGCATATTGTCACTAAGGCTTAGGTGGTCTGGTGCCTGCTCATCCTGGGTTGCCCCCTCGTCCTTTCTTACTTGGTTTGCAAGCCAGATGGGTGGCAGCCTTCGGCCTTGGTGCAAGGCCAAGCCAGATCAGTCGCCATCTGCAGATTGTGCTGGACACTAAAGGGTGCTTCGACTAAGCTCCGATATCTTCGTTTGGGACAAAGTTGTTCCGCTTGATGCCCAAGATCTTGCGTACACAACACAAGTCGAAAGGTCCAGTTTCCTTTCTTGGTTTTATTTCACGTGCCAAATTCCGCAGCCATAAAGCAAAGTAGATAAGACATTGGAGTTTTAGAGTTTCAACTTCAGTCAGAATTTCTCGCCTAACCATAATTGTGTTCAGTTGGTTACAGGCTGCGGAGGTTTTCCCCCATTTTACATGCGATTTCCTTGTCCATTGTTCTTTGTCTACTTGGGGAGTTCCATCAACAACCAAAGACTTCAACCGTATCTACCTTACCCTGGTTGATCATAATGTCGGAAGGTGGTCTGTGATCACCCAAGAGCATGTGTTTGGTTTTCTTGGAGCTGATGACTAGTCCCATCCCACCTGCACTGTTACTAATGGCATCTACAAGCTTTTAGAGTCCCTGGATACTGGCCGACAGCACTGCGATACCGTCTGCAAAGTCAAAGTCCGACACTTTGCTTTCACTCACTTTTAAGTGTCATTTAGTCAGCTGTTTTGGTGTCTTTTAACCTTAGGAACGGGGTCCTAAAGGTAACGATTACCAGAATTTGTGTGCTATGCTTACCATGTATTGTTGGTTGAGCTGATGTATATATCAGGGGTTGTAAATGTGAACACTTTTTTATATCCTTCCGTTTTGTAGGAGTTGACTTAACATTACAGTGGAGTTACGATAACGGTACAACCTGGGATGGTGAGTTTCAGATCTGGGATAAAGCCAGCGGGTACAGCACTATGACAGCTCATCCGGGAGCTTCACCGTACATCTTCATTCTCTTCGAGAAGGGCATCATATCAACAACCGAGTCTATTCAGTTTGTACGCGTGAGCTTGTATGACGAAGTGTGAACCTCTATGATGTTACGGTTCACATGGCTAATGGGTAATAATTAATATTCATACTTTTGATAGAGATTTTAAGTTGAATGAAGAAAGTATTTTATGTGGAAAATTACCAGGTGCAATTTGTCTATTCAGAAAAAATATTGCAACCTGACGCCACTTCAGCGGTTGTGTACAAAGTCGACAGAGAGTCAAGAAAATTTAATTTTCTAAGTATTTCCTAACAAAATTGGAAATATTTCTGAGTCCGAAATTCATATCCTTATCATTTTGCAATGCCTGACCTCATTGAGAAAATATGTGAAGAAAAAAGTGGCGTCAGATTGCAACATTTTTTCCGTCTATTCTTCCAATTTCAACACAGTAATCAAAATCTAAGTACATATATCAAGAGAAAATCAATACAAGATGTCATTGTCGAACATGAGTTTGTTAATATCAGATTGCCTTTGTATTAATGATATTCATATACGACTCTAATAAACAAACACAGTTTTACAGTATTTCAGTATACATCAATTGAGATAAATAATACCTCATTCCACTTTCTTGGAGCTGCAATTTCAACACAGTAATCAAAATCTAAGAACTTGTCAAGCAACTAACTGTTCAAATGGTTTGCCAGTACATGTATAAGTATCAAGAGAAAAAAGTTAATACAAAATGTCACTGTGAAACACGATTTTGTTTATATCAGATTGCCTTTGTATACATGATATTCATATACGACTCTAATAAACAAACATAGTTCTACATTATTTCAGTATTGCATCAATTAAGATAAATAATACCTCAATGCACTTTCTTGGAGCTGCAAAAAGCAGAATAATCGTGTATCACATTTACTTTGATACCAGTGAATACCAATATGCATCACATAACATTTTGGCTCATAACTTGTTGCTGAGAATCTTGTGCTAATAGGCCATCAGCCTGGGTCCAAAATTTTAGCCACCGGTATCAAATGAGGGGAATAATCGTCATAGCAATTTTTGGCAAGGTATACACCTCCCCAGAGTTGGAAAATATGTGATAACACCCAAAAAGCTGCCACCGCTGCAATGCTATCACCCTTTTTTTCAAAATGTCCATCAAAATGCTTGTTACCACTCTAGGGGCGGAATACCTTGCGCATGCACACTACAATCATTTATGCCCTGATTTGATACCAGCCAACCCCCCAGGCTGATGGCCTATAAGCAAAGAGGGCTGATCCACAAAGCTCCGCCCTGTAATTTTTTGGCATTGGAGAGACGCACGTTAATGTTGTGTATTTGTAGAGTCAGGTTTGGTTTAGCCTGAATTATATGCTATGCTAAATGTATACCTTTAAATATATTTGTATTTTCTAAATAACCTCATTTGGGTTAATACATACATTTGTATTTTTTTGATCTTTTTATTGTAAGTGGTTTGTTAAGTGCTCAGATTTGCATCCAGAAAAGGTGCATTTCTACAGACAGTTTTGGTGCAGAACCTAACATATGCAGTCGATGATCACAGGATGAGCAATCTTTACGGTATGTTTTGCAAAAGAGTTCCCATCGCTATCGGAAAATGCAGGGCTGCCAACCCTCGCGCATTGAGCCTGAGACTCACGCATTTCAGGTTGTTATCATGCTCACACGGGATTTCACACACTTAAAAAATAAATGAAATTCCAAAATGATGTTAAAATTATGATCTTTTGCTAAAACAAAATAGGTTAAAGTGCTAGTGGTCAGAACTTGTCTGAGATTGCAACACAGAGCGTCTAGAATCCAAAATTTTGTGGGGACCTTAAGCTCCATTGCAAGATTCTCACTCTCAGCTCTTACAGTTGGCAGCCCTGAAAATGTATGTTGGAAACAGCACCCATTCATCCTAGTGATCCCACATTGGCAAAAGTGGCCAAAATTTGTAGCAAATTTATATTTATGCACCAAGTGACTGAGATCACACGTCCAAAAGACAACTTTTCTGAGCGAGTCTAAAGTTGTTGACTCCATGCTCGTTAAGTGTGCTATGCATGTACATGCATGACTAATTAGCATGCATGATTGAAAGCTTTCTTTGCAATTGTCAAGTAGCAGTCCTAGAAAGAAGGGCTGTGCATTTTTTTTTATAATTCAGTATTTGAATGTTTTGATTAATCAGCAATGACCAAATTTGACATGCCCCAACCGAAACTGACCTCCGATCGGGATGTGTGTGCACCTGCTCTCGTCGTCATTTGTGGTTTTTTTTGTTTTAAGCATCAAAAGTGCTCAAAATCTAAAGACGGGGTGCATAACAACTAACCCGATGAAGTTTTAGCTCAGTGAATGCTGTATATTCCGAGAAAACAATATTCTAGGATCTCAATTTCAATTCAAAAGTTGCCGAGTCATGTTTTGAATTGCTCCCGAAATCAGCGTCAGGTACACGTTCTCCTTCAGCTGATTGCAGCTACGTGATGTCACGCACTGAACAGATGAAATATAGCAACCACGCGCGTGTTTGGAAATGATCTTCTTTCATTGTTTTCTTCAAAATTACAGCATGCGTGAAAGAATAATTTTACAGGGAGTTTAATGCCAAATTTAAACCAACTATGCTCTTCTACAATAATTACCTCAGTTGCTTTTTTGATAGCTGCAATAAATATACATGTACTCTACCTTTAATTACAATCAGTTGATGATCGAATATTACAATATTTAGTACATTCAGCCTGGCCCTACTAGGAACTTTTTGCCCTTGCTAATACTGTTGAGGTCATTACATATATAGTTTTCTACGTTATCGGAGTTTTTAAAAAAGAGGTTATTTTGCATATTCTGCATGTTAAATATGATGTCAACATATAGTACTGAAGAAAATCCTTTGTAGCACTAGCGGTGGCCATACCTTGACAAGAGGAAACGGTTTGTGCTATGTTTAGTAGTTCTAATTACATCGCATTCGAAAATAGGGTAGGTAGGTAATGGTGGGTGGTTTTTTTTTTTTTGCCAATGTTTTTTTGTGTACGATCATATGGAGGCGTCTGCGTGTAGTCAAGGGTAAAAGGTAGAAATTGATGGTTTTGGGTTTTTTTTTCCTTCTTGTTTTCCCATAAACAAATTAGGGTAGGGGGTGTCAGAATTGGGTAGGTAGGGAAACCGGAAGCAGAACTATTTTTTTTGGCCTAACCATAAAAAGGGTGTATTTTTTTTGTAATTCGATTCAATTGGGTGTGGATACTTGGTCTCAAATTCTGCATTGCACTGTATGCATTCTATGTCTTTCTTGTATTATTTCCGAGTTTTGTGCCATTTTGATACCTTTATCATATATTTTCCTTGCCATTTTTTCTACTCTGTGAGATTTTTCTATTGAAGGTTGATAACAAAACTTGTGTCTGCATATATAGCTTACATTTATATGTATATATTGATTCATGAATTAATGGTGGCATAGTAGTAATGAAATATAATTTAGTGGTGTACTAAGATTTAAACAAATATTTTTTTTCTGTGGCCGCCAGTCAGAAGCCATAAAACCCGTATTCATGCCACGTATCTGGGGATCATGCCCATAGTCACAATGGGGAACCGCCAACATAGGGCTGGATAGTTCAGTTGGTAGAGCACCGGAATAGCAATCCGGAGGTCACAGGTTCAAATCCTGTCAATTACTTTGTTCAACATTTAGATTATAATATCGGTCAGTTTCTCGATGTGATTTATTGGAAAATAATTTTACTGTTAGCATACAATGTAATTGTGCACATGGGGAAATAAAATCGTATGAAGTACCAATATTTCTTATATATTATGGAAATAATGTTGTGGTATTCTAATTCCAACCTTTGTTGTGGTTGCTAATAATGAAATGAATAATAAACAGTATTCTTTCTATGGGATTGGTTCACATGTAATCTTGTAGTTTATTGCTAAAATTCGTGTTCCTGCCCTAGTGAACAACTGCACTCCGTTAGGCCCCTATGTTCTTCTCTGCTGCTTATATATACGAAGCAAGAGGAATCTGCAAAGATAAAAGGAAAATATATATTGTATTACATTTTTGTTCACATTCGAAGCATAACCCATTAATGGATTGAGAAGATATGTCATAAAAACAATTTGATAAGCCACTTCCCGAAGACTAAGACAACAAAACGAAAATGAATAAATTAAAAATTCATGTTAATCCCTTTTGCTAATTTACCTCAAGAATTGGTGAAGACTTGCTCTGCAAGCAGGGTCTTCAGTCCTTCCGACGGTCAGCCTCCCTGCTTCCGGTTCCTTGGGATTCGGAAACGATTCAGAATGATATCTTGCAGACCGTCATCTCTGCTAGAAGATTAGAAGGAACACGTAAGAAAATGTGTGAGGGACAAGTATGCGCCTGATGCTCTTCTTTTTATTTGTGGATTTTATTTGTAGATTAAATTTATTTTCCTCTAGATTTATCGTATTTAACAAAAGAATAAGGTATCATCAATCGCAGACACAACAAGCAGAAAGGAAAATGACATTAATATTTTTGTTACCTGGAAAATCATTAATGGGATGCCTCGCAAGCAGGGCCATCAGTCATCCGGTGTTCCTCCTCCCTGCTTCCGGTTCCTCCGTGTCATCAGCTCCTGACATGAGCACGCTGGCTTACTGGTCCTCCTAATCTAATTGCATGTTGCTGAAAATAAAAGAAGTCTTCCTAGCGGAGCTAGGTTCTGTTACTACAATATACAGTGGTTTCCTGATCAAATTTGTGACCGGTGCTGTGGTGTTAAGAGAAGGAAAACGCATGTTAATGGTCCTTACCCGACCGCTATCACTGTAAAAGAAAAAAAAAACATTGTTGGGTAAAACACTGTTTGGCAATGTAATTTTACTTAACATTGGTTAGAAATAACCTGATTGTGGGTTGATTTGGGTAAAAAAATGTACAAAGATACAATCATAGAAAAGGGGTAACTTAATTAGTTTAGGTCTACGCTACTTAGATCTCTGGCCCTAACTGGGTGTAAAGTATACATACAGACAGTGAAGATGATGCAATTAGTGGCCCTTACCTGACCACTGTAATGGACCGCTGTAAAGGAAAGAAAGCTTAGTTTAATCTAAATACAGTTTGGCCTACTGGTCGCGAAGATGATAATTCCAAGATGGACCTTGAACAAAGCAACGCGCATTGGTTCAAAGGGAAACAACGCTCGCATTGCCGACCAGTCGTAATCGGACTTATCAGAATTGAAAAGTACCATCCATTAAAACCTCCACTGGTGATGTGGTTGTTAAAACATTCAATTGATGAACATTGTTTCACCACCCTGAATTCAGGCCATACACTTTACAGAGCGATTACAAGGTGCATCCGACCTCACAGGTGTCATTACACCTGATTTACAATAACCAAAATTGACACAATGGCCCTAACACAAAAGGCAATTATCGATCTTTGCGAATCGGAAGAACAAATCGCAACAACAATGTTTAATTTGTCCATAAGACACATTTCGAAAAAAAGATCATAGACTATTTCATGTCCGATGCAAAATAATCGTGGAATCGTTGAATCCCTCATTCTGCACGTTTCACGACCGTTACTTGTTTCAAAGAATCTGTAAGATCTGCACTTGGCCCTTTACGTCTCAGAGGATCTTTTTAACAATAGAGCTCCAAGCATGTATTGTTTTGGTCACACAGACAAATATAGTCGATCTTTAAACATGGCCCTATAGAGAAGTCACTGCATGAACCACGGTGAAGTTACAACGGGTGAGGAATACAAAGAGACAAGAAAACTTAGATCCTGCATTAGAGTTTTTTAAGCTTCAAAATAGCTAATGATACTTAACACAATGTCCCTAGAGTATTTGACGCAATGATTTGCGCTCAAGATGGGAATGCACAACAGTTTTTTTTTTTTAAGAAAATAGGCCTACACGTCCGTTTATTGGCGAAATACAGCACGGAGGTATATAAGATCTCCACTATGCACCGCATGACCCTAAAATAATTTTGCATAATCAATTAGAAAGATTTGTTTAACATAAAAACAAAGTAAGACATGTTCACATGGCCATGGAATCCTATAAATAATCTGTCATATAAATACAGAAAAACGCAAGAAAAATTTGGTTTGGCAGAAATCCCGACAAAATGGCGATGAAAGTTTTGTACACATGGCCCTAGGATTTTTTTTCACAATGAGAATCAATGTAGCAGGACGGGAAAAGGCACGATAGACGCACCTGGATTTTCAAAGAGTTTGATTCGTACACATGGCTTTAAATAGGGGCCTATCTAACACGAATTGTTACAAACGTAATAAAATATTCCATACAAACATGACCCTATACATCTCTCAATCATTGTCTTTAAAATGTCAAGCAGGAGACATTGTGCAAGATTCAACAAAAATGTTCAACATCTCCACAATTTTGTCTGATGTTGCAAATTGGAAGAGAAGCACAACGATTTACTACACATGGCCCCACTATTATTTCGACATAAAAAAATCCTTCGGCTTCTATCCTGGATGGCAGGTGCTACGAGGTTTAGCAGTTTTAAGTACCCGTGTACATCATGTCTTCGAACTTGTACAATTTTTTTTGCACTCAAACTCAAAACGAACTCATTATCGTACTCGTATATAAATGTGTTCCCACTTCAGCCAAAATACGAACTTTGTTCGCACTGGAACTCAACACGAACTCATAAAAATTTTATACGAATGTTACATTTCAATCCATACCCGGCCCGCAGGTCGATATCCATTGTCTTATTTTCTGCCTGTAAACACATATCGACACTTATAAAATAGATTTTTTTTTATGGCCCTATAGAGTGTTTCACTCCATGAACTACGGTGAAGTTAGAACATATTACGAGAAACCTAGATCAAACATTAGAGCCGTTTTAAGCTTGAAACTAGCTATTGACACTTAACATGTCCCTAGAGTATTTGACACAATGATTCGCACTCAAGACGGGATGATATGAACTCACAAGCAGTTTTGAAGAAAATAACACGTTTGGCTATTGGAAAAATGTATGCACAACGGAGGAATGTATAATCACATGGCCCTAAAATGAGTTTGCATAATAAATTAGAAAGATGTTTTTACATAAAAACCAAAGTAAGGCATGTTCACATGGCCCTGATGGAATCCTGTAAATAATCAAATAATCTGTCATATAAATACCTTAAACGCAAGAAAAATTGGGTTTGGCAGAAATCCCTGCAAAATGGCGATGGAAGTTTTGTACACATGGCCCTAGGATTGTTTTCACAATGAAAATCAATGTAGAAGGACGAGAAAATGCATGATAGACGCGACTGGAATTTCAAAAAGGTTTAATTCGTACACATGGCTTTAAATATCTAACACGAATTGTTACAAACGTAACAAATATTCCGTACAAACATGACCCTATACATCTCACAATCATCGTCTTCAAAATTTCAAGCAGGAAACATTGTGCAAGATTCAACAAAAATGTGCAGATGTTCAACATCTGCAAATTTTTGTCTGATGTTGCAATTGGAAGAAAAGCAGAACGATTAATTACACATGGCTTCATCATTATTTCGACATAAAAAAAATCAATCGGCTTCTATCCTGGATGGCAGGTGCTACGAGGTTTAGCAGTTTTAAGTACCCGTGTATATCATCGTCTTCCAACTTGTACGCGTGTAATTAAAAACGAACTCGTAAGCGTACTCGCGCTCCTAAACTCGAACATAATTTTGTTTTTCCACTTCAACCAAAATACGAACTTTGTTCGCACTCGAACTCAACACGAACTCTTAAACATTTTATACGAATGATACATTTGTTATTTCAATCCATACCCGGCCCGCAGGTCGATATCCATCGTCTTAATTTCTGCCTGTACACATATCGACACTTATAAAGTAGATTTATTAAACATGGCCCTATGGAGTATTTCACTCCATGATCCACGGTGAAGTTAGAACAGGTGAGGAATACATAGAGTATACGAGAAAACCTAGATCCAACATTAGAGCCGTTTTAAGCTTGAAACTAGCTATTGACACTTAACATATGTCCCTAGAGTATTTGACACAATGATTCGCACTCAAGACGGGATGATATGAACGCACAAGCAGTTTTGAAGAAAATAACACGTTTGGCTATTGGAGAAATTTATGCACAACGGAGGAATGTAAAATCACATGGCCCTAAAATGAGTTTGCATAATAAATTAGAAAGATTTTTTTTACATAAAAACAAAGTAAGGCATGTTCACATGGCCCTGATGGAATCCTGTAAATAATCAAATAATCTGTCATATAAAAACCGAAAACGCAAGAAAAATTGGGTTTGGCAGAAATCCCTACAAAATGGCTTATAAAAGTTTTGTACACATGGCCCTAGGATTTTTTTCACAATGAGAAGCAATGTAGAAGGACGAGAAAATGCATGATAGACGCGACTGGAATTTCAAAAAGGTTTAATTCGTACACATGGCTTTAAATATCTAACACGAATTGTTACAAACGTAACAAATATTCCGTACAAACATGACCCTATACATCTCACAATCATCGTCTTCAAAATTTCAAGCAGGAAACATTGTGCAAGATTCAACAAAAATGTGCAGATGTTCAACATCTGCAAATTTTTGTCTGATGTTGCAATTGGAAGAAAAGCAGAACGATTAATTACACATGGCTTCATCATTATTTCGACATAAAAAAAATCAATCGGCTTCTATCCTGGATGGCAGGTGCTACGAGGTTTAGCAGTTTTAAGTACCCGTGTATATCATCGTCTTCCAACTTGTACGCGTGTAATTAAAAACGAACTCGTAAGCGTACTCGCGCTCCTGAACTCGAACATAATTTTGTTTTTCCACTTCAACCAAAATACGAACTTTGTTCGCACTCGAACTCAACACGAACTCTTAAACATTTTATACGAATGATACATTTGTTATTTCAATCCATACCCGGCCCGCAGGTCGATATCCATCGTCTTAATTTCTGCCTGTACACATATCGACACTTATAAAGTAGATTTATTAAACATGGCCCTATGGAGTATTTCACTCCATGATCCACGGTGAAGTTAGAACAGGTAAGGAATACATAGAGTATACGAGAAAACCTAGATCCAACATTAGAGCCGTTTTAAGCTTGAAACTAGCTATTGACACTTAACATGTCCCTAGAGCTTGTCATATAAATACCTTAAACGCAAGAAAAATTGGGTTTGGCAGAAATCCCTGCAAAATGGCGATGGAAGTTTTGTACACATGGCCCTAGGATTGTTTTCACAATGAAAATCAATGTAGAAGGACGAGAAAATGCATGATGGACGCGACTGGAATTTCAAAAAGTTTGATTCGTACACATGGCTCTAAATATCTTACACGAATTGTTACAAACGGGAAAAATATTCCTTACAAACATGACCCTATACATCTCACAATCATTGTCCTTAAAATGTCAAGCAGGAGACATTGTGCAAGATTAAACAAAAATGTGCAGATGTTCAAAATCTGCACATTTTTGTCTGATGTTGCAAATTGGAAGAGAAGCAGAACAATTTACAACACATGGCCCCACCATTATTTCGACATCAAATACTCGTGTACATTGTCTTCCCACTTGAACTCGTGTAATCATTTTCGCACTCGAACTCAAAACGAACTCGCAACCCGGACTCGAACTCGTGTATAAATTATGTTCCCGCTTCAGCCCAAACACGAACTTTGTTCGCACTCGAACTCAACGCGAACTCGTAATAATTTAATACGAACGATGCATTTGTTATTTCAATCCATACCCGACCTTCAGGTCGATATCCATCGTCTTGTATTCTGCCTGTACACATATCGACACTAATAAATTAGATGTTTAAACATTTTTATTTTTTAAACATAGAGCATTTCACTCCATGAACCACGGTGAAGTTACAACAGGTGAGGAATACATAGAGTATAGAAGCAAACTTAGATCCTTAGAGCTTTCTTAAGCTTCAAAATAGCTATTGACACTCAACACAATGTCCCTAGAGTATTTTACACAATAATTCGCGCTCAAGACGGGATATGAATGGGCAAGCAGCTTTCAAGAGTGGTCCGGTTTTTGGAGAATACAAAACGGAGGAATATAACATCTCCACACTGCGCCACATGGTCCTAAAACGATATTGCACAGTAAATTAGAAAGTATTTTTTACGAAAACAGAGTTAGAAATACGTGTTCACATGGCCCTGAAATCCTGTAAATATTCTGTCATATAAGTACAGAAGATAACGCAAGAAAAATTGGGTTTGGAAGAAATCTCTGAAAAACGGCGATGAGAGTTTTGTACACATGGCCCTATGAGAATCAATGTAGAACGACGGGAAAATGCATAATAGACTAGAATTCCAAAACACTGATCCGAGCACATGGCCCTTAATATCTTACACAAATTGCTAAAAAAAAACGGGGAAAAATATTCTGTACAAACGTGACCCAATACATCTCACAATCATAGCATTTAAAATGTCAAGCAGGAGACAATGTGCAAGATCAAACAAAAATGTGCACATGTTCAACATGTGCACATTTTTGTCTGATATGTTACAAATTGGAAGAAAAGCAGAACGAGCTCGAGCTCGAACACGAACTTTGTTCGCACTCGAACTCAAACACGAACTCCTAACAATTTAATACGAACGATACATTTGTTATTTCAATCCATACACGACACGCAGGTCGATATCCGTCGTCTTATTTTCTTCCTACACACAATACAAATATCGACAGAAATTGATTGACAATCAGGTTATTTATTTTTTAGATTCGACTGTTCTTGAACTGGATTACGAACTGGTACTCATATTTCGTACTCGACCTCAAACACGAACTCGCACTCGTCATTTTTTTCCCGGCTCGACTCGTGCACTTTGTACTCGTTAACGGATGATACATTTTCTATTTTAATATATAATATGGACAAAATATTACTGATTGACATTAACTCTGTCCACAATCGATCTCAACACGAACTCGTAACCGTAAACGAACGATGCACTTGTTGTTGTAATCCATACCCGTAGGTCCATCGTCTTATTTTCATACTATACACAAATCGGACAAAATTAATGATTGACAACTTGACAAAATTTGATGATGGACACTAACTTTGCTCGTTCTCCAACTCAACACGACCTCGTATTCGTTAACCAACGATAAAATTGCTGTTTTAAACCCGCTGGTCGATATTCATCATCTTATCGAACAGAATGATTGACAATCAGGTTTTTTTTTCCGATTTCACGATTCCGCTCGTAGAATTTCTCCTCATTGATATATTTTACCCTGGAGGATTGTTGCTTTTAAATTTATACGTTATCGTTTTGAAAGTGATTTTCAATCGAGCCGAGAGCGCGCTAATGCTCATTTCGAATACATAATTATTTGTTTCGAAATCGTACATTACCGACACCCAAAACCGTTGGCATTTAGAAACAAGTTATCTCAATTTATTTTGCACATCCAAGCGGCGGGATTTTCTTTCCTTTCCCATCTGGTTCTTGGTGAGATTGTATTTTGATTAAGAATCGTGCGGAGAGGTTCCTTGGAAAAATATATAATTATTTTCTTTAACGATCTTTGTCCTCTTTACAAAACATAAAATGCTTAAGGTTTTACAACTTTATACATTGATAAATCTATAGTGTTTTCAATAGAAGCACCCGTCAAGGGTGGCGTATTTGTTTCCATAGAAGCACCCATCAAGGGTGGGGTCTTTCTCGATAGTATCATCCATCAAGGGCGTTGTCTTTCGCAGTAGTAGCACCCATCAAGGGTGTCGTATTAATCAATAGTAGCACCCATCAAGGGTGTCGTGTTAATCAATAGTAGCACCCATCAAGGGTGAGGTTCTTCTCAATAGTACACCCATCAAGGGTGAGGTTCTTCTCAATAGTATACCCATCAAGGGTGAGGTTCTTCTCAATAGTACACCCATCAAGGGTGTGGTTCTTCTCATGATACCCATCAAGGGTGTGGTTTTTCTCAATAGTAGCACCCATCAAGGGTGTGGTTCTTCTCAAATGTAGCACCCATCAAGGGTGTGGTTCTTCAATAGTTGCACCCATCAAGGGTGTGTGGTTCTTCTCAAGCACCCATCAAGGGTGTCGTCCTTCTCAAATGTAGCACCCATCAAGGGTGTGGTTCTCCTCAATCATACTTTAACGACATTCCAATGGACATTATCCAACACAACAGTTTACAGGATTATTTCTCAAAAGTTGTAAAGGAATGCATAATGAACATCTTTACACCATTAATTCTTCAAGGTAATTCCTTTGTCTTTATACAAAAATAATCTACAAACTTAATATGGTTGAGATGCGGCAAAGCTCAGGGCAATGCCTTTGATTTCTGTTGATGATAACATCTCCGAGGGTCCGTCTTCATCGCTGATTCTTCAGTTTGTATTATTGAAATAAAATCCAAAACGTTATAACTTAAGCCCTTTACATACTTCAACTGGCGTTATTATATTGCCAGTGCAGGATAACGTGGGTAAAAATCAATAAGTTTCGTTCCCTCCCCAATTCCCAAAGTTCCTAAGTTTCATGCAAGCTGCTACTTCCTCGCTTTTTGCAGCACGCTGAAGCTCCCTAAACTTTATTTGTGTTATTATTTTATTACTATCAGCTCTTTATACACTTTCATGTTTATATTTTATTTGACT